GCTTGGGCATGCACGCTACATGACTCAACCAACTCAGCCTTACTTTCCGGAGGAGCTGACTGATGGGACTGTCCAGATCTTTCAAGATCTGTGAGCTCAGCACAGTATATAGTACTGTATCTACAGACTGCCACAAGTGCCACCACTCGACAGCATCCAGAAGCTTCCGTAATATTTTTTTTGGATACATGAAGGAAGATTTGTATTGCCATCTATAACAGATGCCGGTTAGTAGAGCATTCCAGATGGTAAAGTGCGAAATAACAAGAGCTTGTTCCGTGTTAAAATAACCCTATTATGCAATCTGGGGACTACTGAGCAGGGTTAAAGCATATAATCTAAGGTATTTGTTATCTACCAGCGAACATTCCAAACGATACTGGGGATTGCTTCTCAAGGCTGACTGGGAAACAGAAATATCCCCCCCTCTACAATTGCATTCCAATTGTGCTTTCAGAATAGTAGCATACAAAAAAAAGTTTCCATTTCAAACTTTTACAGCTTGCAATGATAGAGGCCTACCTTTTGTCACAAATCGGCCCTCGAAGATGACATAGCATAATTTCTCATGCGATGTCAGTTATGTCTCTATCTAGCATACGGACAACAACTTCAATATCCCTCCCTGCTAAGAGTGTTGACCATATGTTGATTTTAATCGGTTCATCTTTTAATTCTCAGAGAAGGATTATTGCCGAATTAAGTTAAAAACGAAAGTTAATTTCATAGGGATTTTGTGTGCCAACTAAGCTGAGACCATCAACTCCCTGCAATTTAGAACCCAGTTTAATCACGGGTCACTGAAATCCTTACTTGAAATCAACAATTTTACTGGTACAAACTTCGTGCTATGTCTGCTGAGACACCAGAAATAACACTTCCGAATTACATGTGCGCCTTCATGTAATTACTGTGATTATTCCTTCAATTCCCATAAAGTCAGTTACAGCTCCTGAATTATGATTTCCTTATCAAAATGATGTCAATGTTGAGACGGTGAGGAGGATGGTGATTGGACAGATATATCAAAAGTGTGAAGGTAGCAGGCTGAGTTGATACGAACAGAGCTGCACTATGCTCTGGACTAGGCTGTCCTCTTGAATAGACTTGTTGAGAATACCTCACGTTTATCTGCACACTAATGTTAAGTCATCATAACTTATCGGTCTATTTTTATGTCTGCACAGGCCTAAGATGTCATGACCTCTCGTCATTAGCGGTACCTCGTGACAAAGGGTTATATAAAAGGATAACATTTGAGAAATGTCTCTTCATGTCTATGATGATGAATCATTGTTTGAATCATTATCCTCCTGCACAGAATTTGCTTTTAATCTTGCCAGCAGTTCCTTGTGTAGAAATTCATCATCATTTTCAGCAGCCATGGTCAATCCACTGTTGGATGAAGGCCTCCCCAGGCCGCTATCACCTCTCCTAAACCTGCAATGCAATAATCCACCTATCAACTGCACACAAACTGATTTTAACACTCCATCCCTTTGGTGGTAATATATATGCATATGTTCATATAATAAATTAATAGTTTGCTTTCATGAAAACATTTAATGTGCGACGTTGGACTAGTTCCTAAAAAAGCAATTGTTAGCTGATGAACGGGAGCAGCTTGAGACGTTTATTGAAGGTATATTTCAGCAAAGCAGTGAAAGTGTTACTCATTGATATCTAGGGTTGTATCTATTCTGCAAAAAAACAATGAGAAAACATGAATTGAAAATGTTCTGCAGGGTAGTCCAATATAAACAGAGGGGTTGACCTGTTGAAACTGCTGGATAATTTGCCACATTAACTTGAGGATGTTTTTTTGTACTCAATGATAACTCAAAGCAATATCATGTAAACCCACTTTCATTATAATTTTAATTTAGGTTTTTCCACTTTCATAAATTTTCTCACCTTTTGTTTTGTGTTGGTCAAGTGGTTTTACATTTTATTTATCGTATTAATTGTGCTTTTGCCTTCCGGGAACATTGTGGTGTGGTTTTAATGATGTGATTATCTCTGTAAAAAACAATGCCCTCTAAATAATTGTTTGCTGCTAAACCAAAAATGCACGAGTGAATAAAAATGCACATAAGTGCATTGTGTGGAATTTTATCGCAATATGACTAATTAATGTCAGTCATACAACTTGACTTGAGAAAAATACAAATTGTATTTTAAATGAGGAAACACATGCTTGGCAGAGAAATGTATTATTTTCTTCAGGGTTAGTGAATAACAACTTTGCAAGAATACAAAGTCTCACCAATACCTTTCAACCCTTAGTATTGTTTATTTTATCTAGCATTTAGTACATTAGAGACGTTCATTTTGAAATGGTTAATTATCTGTAACTTGTGGCACAGTGTAATGCTTATTAATCAGTTTGTTAATCAGTAGAATTTTAAATTGTGCCTATCATGCAAATGTCGCAAAATGCAAACAAAAGTGGTTATTAAAAATTAAACAGTCTTGGCACACTCAAAATGCACTTTGATTTAACGACTACAGCTGATAGTATTTTTTGTGTGATAGCATGACCCCTATCCAGTTGATGCAGATACATATTATCTTGATTTGAAGCTTTCGTGACTGCAGGTATAAAATAAAATTCATAAAATGTATTTTATTTTATTTTATACCTACGTGACTTTACCGAAACAACCACAGAGTACAGATACATATTTTTTATGACTTTTGGATTAAATGAAGATACATTCACATTTTCTACAGTTTAACAGGCTTGGCTACCACATGTATTTATTTCCATTTTAATGATAACAGTGCCTCTTAAAACAGTCCGTGCTCAAAGCATCCATATGCTCTATGATATTTAAGGGATTGCCTGGCTGGTGTTTTATGGTAATTGAGAAATGCTCATTCCCTCAGCTTGAACTCAACCTCTTTAAGATTATGAGATGTTCCCCTACCCATAATACCTTCCAAATAACAACATGTGGCATACAAATGAATACTGACATGTGGTGAGCATTTTAAATAAAGATTAGGAAAAAAAGTACGAATTCCATTTTCAGATTTAGTTTTTCTGGAGCAAATGCCCGAAAGTTTGAAATAACTAAAGAGTGAAGTACACATTTTTTGGTTTGTAAATGTTTTAAAACATTTAATGCATTATAAATATATTTACCATGCGTGAATGCAGTTTTCCATTTCAGTAATTGCATGTGAAATCGTGTCTTTACATAACTGGACATATGTTGTACATTTTTTCATGCTATATGCAATCCTGCCATATACACCAGGCCGGAGTCTGTAAAAGCAGATGTGTTGGGGAAAACAGACTAACTTCAAAAAGAACCACCTTATGCCATTGTGATTTATAGTGTACTTTAAATCTCATTGCAGTATAGGAATATAGATAGCGAGGATTACATTTTGTTTTATTTTCAAGGGACAATCGGGATCTCATGGGAGAAATTTTACTCCTGTCCCAAGTCAAAATGGCAAATTACGTTTCCACAAAACCTCACAGTAAGCAAATCTAAAAACTTGCTTAAAATACATCTATTTTACAATAAACTGTTAGTTCTGGCTGTTTAAAATTGATAATTACATTTTCCAAGAGAGCATTGACTGTGCAATGCAACTGGCAATGGTTTAAGCTTACATTGTTATAAAATCTTTCATCTCAAATAAAAGATTATAAGAACCTATTGTTCTGAGCAATGGTACCATCATTAGATAATCCTATGTCATTTGAGCTCATGCTTTATTAACACTGCCCACAAGTAACAAGGCGTACATCCCATTTGGGGAAAGTGCCATAGATTTTATGTTTTATCTCTTAGCCACAGCAGGTTGGCTATTTGAGGAAATATTGAATCTAAGAACTGTGAGTTTAATTTTGATCCAGCTATCCAAAACTGACAATAATAATTACATATTTTAGATATGTTGAAAACAACACATTTTTATCGCGTGCAGTTCCTGTTGGCTTACTTAACAAAAAAAACTTTCGTAGACAATTCCCATAGTCCATGAGCAAAGGGGGTTGGTCAATACCACCTTGGCTGGCAAATGCTGCCAGCATCTACTATGGGCAGTTTCCACAATAGACGTAAGTCTTAGCATACACACAATACTGTCTGTTGCATAGACACAGCCAATATTCATTTTTATAATGCATAAATGTTTCACGTTACATTGGTATATCTAATTTCTTCAAATTGTCTATCAAATATACGACAGCACCCTTATTTAACAAAATTTAAAAACATCTCACAAAAAGCAACCTTGCTGTGGTCTTGCAGTCATGCACATTTCTGATCTTGAGGGAATCGTTGTTTGCATGTACCACTCTTGAATGTTGCCGATGAATCACTGTTGGGCAGGGGCGGTTTCTTCATTAGGGCGATTGGGCGACGCACCACCAATGTCATTCAACCACAGAGTCACGCTAGCCGTCACTGTGCCTCTGGATATAGTCCAATCAGCGTCATGTCACGTTCTGTGGAGTACCGCCTCTTTTTGGGCGATTTCACTCCGGCTGAGAATCGCCCCGAGTGGCCCCATAGACTTACATTCAAAGATGTTTTTTTTCGAACAGCGGGCGCTCCAATGCATTCTCCATGGCTTCCGGGAGGGCTCGCCCTAACGTGCTTACGTCATCATACGTGCTAACGTCATCATACGTAAGCACGTTTCATCCAACAATATAATTTATCGCCACCTAGTGGAATCTTTAATAAAATAAACTTGAGTGGTTTGTTTTAATAGTGAGTATAGAAACAAACAAGATGTATTGTAAGAGTCACTTTATTTTTCATTAATATTAAAGAAGTGAAGTTGCCTTTACATGCTTAAGCTGTTAATTTATCCATTGCATGGGTGGACCTTATCCTTATCAATCATCCAGACATTTGCCCCCCCTGAGAGATTTTGCAGGAGCCGCCACTGCTGTTGGGCCAGTGGCTCAAGGATCTGATGTAGACAAGACATCGCAGTGCAATTGCTTGGCCTCTCTTCTCTTCTCCCTCCAGATGACAGTTTGGAGAACAGAGCAGCGGCTGCGTATTCCCGTCCCTCTGCACTGGCGGAGCCGCTGCCCATCTTTCTGACGGAGCCCAACGACGGCTTCATAGTGCAGAACAAGCCGGTGACGCTCGATTGCTCAGCCTCCCCAGCCACACAAATCTACTTCAAGTGCAATGGGGAGTGGCTCCACCAGAAGGCCCTTTACACTCAAGAACACCTCAGTGTTATCACAGGTAAAATGAATGGAATTTTAAAAAAAGGAGAATGTGCTTGAGAAATTATATGGTGGTGTTGCTGCTGCTGCGATTATTCACTTAATTAACCAAGAAAAAAATCTCGAGTCTCTTGACTCATTTTCAGGAGGGTACTACTTTTTGATGTTTGTCCAGTTCCTTAATGAGCTTTGACTATTTTGTTGCATTTGTATTTCAGTATACATTTGTTTGTTAAATTACATTTCTATGCTACTGCATTATTATTCGCAGGAAGTTACTTTATGGGTTTCAGTTTTATTTGCTGCAGGTAAAACCCATTGGGGATAAAATGTTCATTTTCGATGGTTACACCACAGAGATATCGTTACAGCAAAGTAAAAAAACATAAACAAAACAATAAAAAAACAACTATACATGGCCAAGTTCCGAATGGCAAGGTCATGCATCAGCATGGTACAACCAGCACGATAAATACAAGCTTACAGGACAGCCGGAGTCCATTGTCATTCCAGGGTAAATAAAACGATTACCACTTCTGCTGCTTGTCAGTCGGTCAAATTTATTTTGATGGTGAAGACAAGAGGCCAACGTATCAGCTCGTCAGTAGTTGCTGATGGTTTTTTGAATACTACACAAAGGCTGGGCGTGTGTTGTCCATCTTTTTGAGTGCTCTACTTACGGACTCTAAACCACCGCAGTAGCCGATGATGCCCACGGCAAACACTCATGGTGGACATGATGTTGGTGTTTCCTCATTCCTGTGACATTTCTAACTCCCCAGCGGCTGCTGTGTGGATCATAGAGTAACAGCATTAGGATGAACACAACCTGAGTCCAGATTTTTCTCTCTTTTTTGTGCGCACAGGCTAGAGGGACCACATATTCCATTGGAACTTTTTTCACACTTTCAGTATTTACTTGTTCATGATGTTAACACACGTGAAAAGGTTCGTGAATAATATGCCAACGATATTGATTTTATGATTTCCAACCTAAGGCCACGGACACTGCTTGAGTGGGTGCGCCAATCTCCAAAACATGGCAAATGTGGGCCTCACATAATTTCAATCTTTCATTCTTATAATGGCTCCCTGCTGTCGTAGTCACTTGCAAATGCTACCTCGCACCCTATTCATGAAAAATTATGTCTATTTCATACAATGATAATGATGCCTTTTAGGCAAGCCATAACTTGTAAAAGCCATTGTTCATTCAAATATGTGTAGTATGTTTTCACATTGCTTTTTAGAAGACCAATTACATTTCCTTAATTTCGTCATATTTATAACCTGAATCTCAGCAGAAGTTCCATCACGCATTTCATGATAATACATATCGCATTGCCACCTACATTGGTAATCAACTACAGTATTAAAAATGGCTTATGGGCATTTAGTATGGCATTCAATTAAAGAATATGAGTCAACATTTGTAGGAAAATGTAAAAGTATTTTTTTTGTAAAAATATTATTACGAGAATTCATATTCTGTACAGAACATACAGCTGCACACATCTTTTTGTGCCAGATGGTCTCAGCACACCTAGGAATTTTGCTCGTTTGAAATCAGAATTTTCCACTTTCAGCATATTGTTGATCAGGTTGTCAGGTGCTATGGACCCACCAGCACTATTTTAAGAAAAGTCAAGGACTATGTGTCACAAACTTGACAATTCCACTAGCTGGTATATGTGATTTATGTTTAGATAGTTTTGGTTCAGCAGTTAAAAGTTTATTGTAACTTCTGCTTGTGAGGCTTTAACCCAGGAAAAAAGACATGATATGTATAATTATACATATATATTGGCATTAAGTTACAGTTTTGATATTCAGTACATTTGTGCTTTGACCCAGCACACAATGACCTACTGATATTCATAGTAATGATGGCTCCAATATAGCATTGCCATAAATAAAGCTCTTTAATCATGAGCATGCCACTTGGCAGAGAGGCAATCTGCCATGTCAATGACAAGTACACCAATTGCTTTATGGAGAAGGATGTTAATATATTGGCCATGGCAAAAGAGATTGGGATATTCCGTATAACTATTTGTCATACTTTTTCATTTATAAAGTTAGATAAATCTAAGTATACCTTTCAATGAATCCCTTTAAGAATCATTTGAGGTGCTGAAAAAATTACATGTGACTATGTCATTTCACTGTTAAAGGTGCAACATCTTGTAGCAAAATATAAAATCCAAATTGTAAGAGTAATTGCCAATAATTGTTACAAATTTACAATGTAATTCTTTGCAAACCGTGAGTTCAAATTGCAGTTTTAATGCTGCAGTATCATGTCTTTATTACTTGCAGTGGAAGGGAATTCATTTTCTTTTACTGTCTGACATTAATCCTTATGTTGAAGTTTCCCAAGAGCTTTTCAAAGCACTCGGACCCTCAATGACCTTCTGTGGGATTCTATTATCTGGTACCTGGTGGCCAGGAAACAGGCTTATGCTATGTGTCCACAAGCTGATTAAATGAGAGGATGAAATGACCCACCAAGCAGAGCAAAGATCAGCCATGGTACTGTCCTTTAAATAAAACTTAGCCCCTACCTTTGCAGAGATATATGTACCCCACAGTTATATCCATTGGAGATAATAACTTGCTCTTTCACCTTCATTTCTCCAAAGGCGTTCTAGAATTGGATGTGGCAACGTAGCTTTAGCATTTTTACGATGAAAAGATCACCAGGAAGTCTTGTTAAACCATATTAGTACACCGTGGTAGAAATGTAACTGTGTAAAACTAGTCAAGAACATTATAGCATTGCCCTAAGCCAGTATATTATGCAGAAGTTAGTAATGTGAGTAAATAATATTCTAAATGTATAACCATGACGTATATTTTGTATTTTTCAGGTATTGTCATTTGCACCTATGTTGTGTGCTAATGTTGCATTATATTTTATTATATAAGTAGCATTTACGAAACATATTTTTTTACAAATAATGTAGTCTCACATATTGGTTATGAGATGCATCAATCTATTAAGGTAAAGAGATTATGTATACGATGATTTGTCTAGAAGTTTGAAAACAAATCGGTTATAACGACTATAATCACCCAGGAATGTTCTTAACGCTCATGACGTCACTCCACATCGACCATCCCCCCTCATTATTATTCTAGAGCAGGTGACGTCCTCCAAATGGACACCCCCCCCACCCCTCATTCATAATCATGAGCGAGTGACGTCACTCAATATGGAGTAGTCCCCCCCCCCTCATTAATAATCATGAGCAGGTGACGTCACTCCACATCGAACAGCCCCCCACATTAACAATCATGAACAGGTGACATCCTCCAAATGGACACCCCCCTACCATTAATAATAATTAGCGGGTGACCTCACTCCACATGGGGGGGCGAGGCGCCTCCTCCCCCCTCCTCGGGGTCAACTGACAACCCTCACTACAAAGGCAGAAGCCTCACGTCACGCGGTCTCCGTAACGCTGTTGAGACATCAAAGTAAAAAGGACGTCATGATGAACAAGGGATTATAACCTTAAAATGAAATAGATCCGTGTCACCGCGCCCTTACAAATTGCACACGCATTGATGCAATGCATATCACGTCGCGGTCTACTTTTCGCTTGCAACTTTCAGATTTACTGCAATACACCCGTCCTTGGACGGGCAAAAGGCTAGTAATGTATAATATTTTATGATTGTATTGATCCTTCACACGCAAAAATGAGGCTTGTTTGGAATTGTGTGATAAACTACGCCTTTGTGCTGTACAGTGATGTTTTGTTTGAGAGAGGGGATAGATGAAAGCCATAGGACTTATAAAACACACGCAAAAAAACTCTTGCTTTCTTCTTATAAATACTTTCTTGAAGCACGTACAGACATAGCAACGAGACACTGCTTGTGACTGAAAATCAATGGTATACTGAAGAAAGAACACTTGCAATGAGGTGGCTGGTTGGCTTAAGCTGCTTGATGTCTGTTTCAGAGCACAGAGTAGGTATCACTAAAGTCCTCTTTAAATATGGCCATTCACTCGTGATTAAACCAGATTCACATCCATTGAGTTGATGTTCTCAGCCCAGTCATGAGTGAATGAATGCATTTGTTTTTTTTGCTTAACCTAATCCACCTCTGAAGCCCAACATATTAGATCTATGCCATGCGGTGTGCACCTCTTTGAAGGGGAGTGTGATCGAGTGTTAGGTAAGAGCGTTATATTGAAAGACTTATGAAGCATTTGTAGTTCTGTGATATCATCTTCTGGAGCCATTCTCTGACATTCAAAATATACAACTCATATGGGTGGTACAATGTCACCTCTGCTTTGCCAAGTATGCATTTTAGTTGTAAAGTGTAACGTAACATGCTATTTTTATAGGATCAAGGGTTGCCAAAAGTGTAAGAACATTCAGACCTATTTTCAATTCTACCAAAATGTTTTCAAATGAGATACGCCTCTTAAAAATATAGCCATTAGATTAAAGTAATTAACATTTGAACAAAAATTAAAACATAGCCTAGTGGGTGAATGTGCTTTAATGAGATTTTTAGGCACACCTTTGTGCGTATAAAATATGCGAACTTCAATTTGTTGATTCTTGTATATGTATACACCCAAGTGGGTTCATATCAGAACAATTTATTTATCATGAATAAGTATAAATAAAAACATTGATTTGATGATGAACATTTAATAACCAAAAACAGCAGGTAAACAAGCTCGGATATATAGCACATACATTTTCACGGACAGTCATCGCACAGACAATGTTGCATTATTGGGTGTTGTCCTTCATTGTGCTGTTTGTGATGCACTTGTATGACCATGCAGGACAGGTAGTGCGAGAGGTCCACACGAATGTGTCAAGGCAGCAGGTGGAAGATCCCTATCGTCTCGAAGATTTCTGGTGTCAGTGTGTTGCCTGGAGTGCATCAGGGACAACCAAGAGCAGAAAGGCCTTTGTCAAAGTAGCACGTGAGTGACACAAAAAAGATTTAACTACACTTATTTGGACCATCTTATTTGACAGACAACTATTACAGGTTATTGATAGACAGTCAGGCTTGTTTAACCATGTTTAGTTGTTTCTTTTTTCACACTATTGTTATGTAGGCCAGGCTTAGTCACAAACCGTACCTCTCCATAACAAAGGCTCAGCCTCTTAAGCCTCACCTTACCATATTAATAAAAAAAGTGTGCCGTACTTGGCCCTTCCCCCCTCTCCAACCATTATATATACGGAGTGGTAGCTCCTGTAATCTCTCATTCACTTGATACAGCTGTCATGGCTGTGATGGTTCCACCTGAAGACGGAAGCTTGTGTTGCCTCTGAAACGTCGTGATTTTTATTTTTTTATTTTATTTTACTTTTATTAATTTTAATTTAATGTTTTACCTACGTGACTTTACCGAAACAACCTAAGAATGTGAGTGACACAGCTCATTCTGCATTATATAATATACATTTTCACAGGCGACTGAGTAGTTCAATTTTACATGTTGTGTATTATTGTATTCAAATTTATACATATTTCCGAATTAAATATTTTGTGCTACAATATCTGATTTGTTGCTTTGTAAAGCTTTAAGTGTGTAATTGTATTGAAACAAGAGCGTAATGAATAGAACATCATACCATGCAAAGTACAAGCTGGCTGTGGTAATGTTTGGAGTGGAAACTGTTTTTCATGCTCATTCTTATGAAAAAGGATTGATTGGGAAACATATATTTTTTTTCCTATAGATAACATTTATTTTCGAATAATTGTATTTGTTTGAAAAAAATGTTAACTGGAAATATTAGCAATTATCTACTGCCACTGAATTCTGTAACTGCCTCTGTTAGAGCAATAAGGGAATGTCTCAGGAAAGCTAATGTATTGGAGTTCATATTTAATATAGATTATAAATACACATTTCCGTTTTCATATTCGTTGCTGCAGTGTCTGGTCATAGGTTATCCACGTGTTGGGGGGGAAATAAATGACGGGAAACAAAAAAACAATGAAACCCTTGAAATACATCAGTTCGAATTAATTCACTTTGTGAAACAGCCAAATATTTCTCCAAAATAATAGATGACCCTGTGTCTTTTTATTCATCTCTCTGGCAGATCTACGAAAGAACTTTGAACAGGAGCCCTTGGGAAAAGATGTTCCCCTAAATCATGAAGTCCTGTTGCACTGCCGACCTCCTGAAGCTATCCCACCTGCCGAGGTGAGAATCAGCATCACATGAGTGGCCGAGAAGCGTCAGCGATTGAAATATAACTGTGATTCCCTCTGCATCTGCTGACAATTAATTTGAACCAAAAATGATCTCCTGTAAAGACGCCTTAGCGTTGACGGTTAAGAGTATTATTTATATCCTCGCAGCAATTAACAAAGCAGCGGCAGCAAATGCAAATTAGCGAGTTGTATATTACAGTGCAGCTTAATTGCCTTTATTCTGCATGTTGCAAGTAGGTTAACGACTATTAAATTTGTGATGCTCCAGTGAACTTAATATATTCCTGTAATTTTCTGCCCAATTATTGTAATCAGCAGGTTGCCTAGGATGTAAAAAGACAAACTAAGTCATCCGGTTACAAGCTGAAAGCCATTGCTGCCTGAATTCTTCCTTATGTCACCTCTATTCATCTTGTACTAAACATAACGATGGTTAGATGCAGTGAACTGTGTTGCGGTAATAACTGTTTATCGTTGCACCGACGCAGTGTTTTATAGACGCATGTAATTTATAGCAATGTCATGTGCATTGTGTCTGCATGGCCCACAGGCCGAATCTAATCACTTAACACTCGAAAAGAGGAAAAGCCATATGCTGCTTAAATGCCCTCCCACCCCCTCCTGTGCTTGATACCTCCTGGCTGAGCCACTTTTGATCCAGGAATTGTGACACCATCATGAAGGCCTTCTCAGCAATGATCACTTTTAGCTTTTGAGCTCTTCATTCGCGTACCCACTGCGAGGATCCTTGGGTGATGTTAACGATTGCTTCTTTGTGGTATCCTAAAAACAATCTCGCCATCGAGGGATATTTATAGCATTTCATGTGGCCATATTGAGTGCATACATTTGCCACTGGTGAGCTGTGGATACTCTCTGTTTATGCAAGCTAATGTCAAGTTCATGTACTCTTTGTGGTGAGGAATTTTTTACAACTCTTGATTTTTTTTAATATAAAAAGCCCATGATTCTAAAACATGGAGCTGTCATTTGTGATGATGTTGTTAAGTAGAGGCGAAGCACATTAAATTATCCTGAAGACCCCAGGGCTCTCTGGCATGAGTTTGTGGAATCCAGCAGGGATATTTGTATTAAATTTATTTATTTAATTTGGTCTGCTTGGCTGTCAACCAATGCTTGAAGTGATAATTTTGTCACCGGCAAGAGATTTGCTTGTGTTTCACATTTTAGTCACAAATAACGTGTTTTTTGAGTGGCAGGTTTTGGGTGATTGAGACTGGGGCTTAGCATGCTATGTGTGCGAATTATGCATCCACAGAATTTGGACATTATATTTATTTTAACAGGTTTCCTCTAAAATATATATAATAATGAAAACGGTATTTCTTACATGTCCACATACATCATCAATATGCAGCAAATACTTAAATCAATATGCAAATACTTTTCGGTTTATTTCATTTACTTTACGTTGGATGTGTGTCTCAGCAACCATTCTCATTCAAATACAACTGCCGTATCCATCAGCTTACGGCTATAAGCTGCTTGCACAAGGCAGCATGGCATAATTCCCAATGCAAAACATGCATAATTCTTCAACGTGCACCAAAAGAACATAAATTAGCCCTGCATGTTATACACGTGTACATTATACACGTATTTCTGTACATGAAAGTAGAAATAATATTGCATTTTTGTAAAAAAAAAAAGGCATGATATCGTACGGCAATAGGGTTATGCGTGTTGTTATGTAATAAACAATCTGACATTCTCTGTAGAAAATGTATCTTAGTATATATATGCATACATTTATTAATTTGCAGTCGCAGTCCTTTGCCCAATCCACTGCTGGATGCATGTATGTTCAATTTCTTTCGCACGATACGTAGCCAACCATGCTAATCGGATGCCTTCCCATAACATTTTGTCCTGAGAGCTGTTTTGACCGTACAGCACTTGGCCATGCTGGTCAGTGTCGGGCGGTGAAGTGGGAGCGCAGCACCAGTTCGTATATCCCTCACCACCAATGTTAACCGTGACCAGGTGTTGAATTCAGATCACATGCTTTGTAGCGCAGTATGCCACTGTCCTCTCCCCCCATGCAATATATGAAAATTGCACATTCATCACTTATACTGCAGACTCCCAGCGTTATATCTTAAACCATGGACGCATTTACATTAACGTATGCAAAATTTTTATACCATGGCAATCTCACGAAGGTATACATCTTTGCACATACATATGCATAGGGGGTGTGACACGTATTAACTTAATATATATACCGTCGGTTGCCAGGTTACTGCAGGTTACCGTAAGTGCACAGAAGGTGGTTTGAGAATGTGTGCTGACTAAAGATTGTGCGCTGGTTGTTTACACCAGTCAATACTATGCCACATGTGCAGATGCTATGCAGCCTCCTGAAACATTCATTTTCACCTCATTAGGCATTGACATTTTGCACAAAGCTTGCATCAGGCTCATTGTTGCACCTAAGCTTATGTTGCAAATAGAGGTGCACGATTTGGATCTGGTCGAACTAGAATGACATTGAATCATGATCAAAAATATCCTATCAAGCAGACCAAACTCAATCCACGTTTTCTTGGATCCAACACGCTTAGATAGCAAAATATTGCATGTCAAGATGCTCCAGTAGGTACTATCAACAGTAGGTAGATGCAAGAGTCATAGTACTAGGTAGGCTCTTATAGTGTAAATGCTTACCCCGAGCTCTCAATACTCTGATAGTGTGCTGTCTTTGAGTTGTACGCCTTTTGGCGTCATCTGGTCCAACACCAATGGAGACTAGGCTCTAAGAAAAGCTGTCTCGGATGTGGACCAATCAACTTCAAGGACAGTGCATATAATTATCATCATCAAAGTTGTTTATTTTTGTTTGCATTTTGACTGCTTGTGTTGTGGTTATTGCAAACATGATGCCTTGTATAATGGTGTCAGTTTTTGTACCAGTTGAAAGGGTAAAAACCTATTACTATAGGTAGGCTCTTGTGATTGTGCTACTGAGGAAGCCCCCAAACAATTGTGGAGTGAAACGGTGGACATCATGCTGAATGACGACATAACGCAGTTATGAGTATTTCAATAGAAAAATGTTGACTGCCCATCACATATGTTAACCTCACAAACAGGTACTATATCCGAAAGATAAAATGTAGTTGTATTGTACATTTCCTGTTAAGATACATTCTACTTCGACACTGGCTTGTTCATATGTCGTAGCATTGGTTTAAGATATAGGATTTTTTTTGCTGATTCTGCGAATAAAATGCCCCTGACATGTACTGTGATGGTTGAAGGAGAGAGTGGTTACCATAAAGAGAAACACGTTAAATATATTAAATATTTTTGGGGTGGGATCCTTCTCAAGTCAAAAGTAAAATGTTTCAGCCTCCTGCATACAGGCCTGGTTTAGGCACAAGTAACACATTAGTTAACTTAGGATATTACATTGAAAATTCATTATTTTGTTATTGTTATTTGCAATACCTTTATGCTGACTTTTTTTGTTCTACATGTCGACGGAGACTACAGTTTGGTTACATGTTGAAAGTAAACCTTTGGTCTTGAGCATGAAGAATGGTCGTGAAGATGAATGAATAAACATCTCGTTCCAGGTGGAGTGGATGAAAGACAAGGAACTCATCGACCCGGAGGAGGACTCAAACTTCTACATCACGGTGGATCACAACCTGATCATTAAGCAGGCGCGACTGTCGGACAGCGCCAACTACACGTGCGTGGCCAAGAACCTCGTGGCCAAGCGCCGGAGCTCCACCGCCACTGTCACCGTGTACGGTGAGTGGTGGTGGTGCAACAACAACAACGACAACAACCGCCGTTCACCACTAAGTGGCGGTGACATCACCATGGTGCTTGTGCCACGCTAGGTGCACCTTTGAAATGTTTGCTCTGGTTCCTTACACAAGCACCATGGCACTCGTGCCATGCTAGGTGCAACACCATACAAATGCATGCACTCGCACACACACACTCCTGTTTAGCCTTACGGAACTGCTCGGGCAAGTGCTGTTAGTGAGCAATTATTAAGGCTGGCATGGTACAAGGGAGGGGGTAATGAGGCCACTCCAGTTCACACCCTGATACTTTTGTCTCCCCTTTGTCCCCATGTAGTGTAATTATTTTAGGTTCGGTAGATCAGGTGAGGGGCGGTGGCGGGGGGGGCTCTCTGAGTTACATTCAGACACCAATTGTTGTCGGTCTTTTGCATGGCTAGGAAATATACCCAGGTTACCAGAGTTGTATATTTATGTGTGTGAATCAGTACAGCAGCAGCATTCCCCATAAATGCAGATGCAAGCAATGGCGGAGCCAAGATTTTCAGATGGGGGGTCAACCCCTCCAGCAATGCAAAATGATTGGAGTTGTTAGTAAGTAAGGACTTGTCCCTTGATTTTCATTCGACGCGTGTGCGGCGATGGCGCAGCCATCGATCGAGGGTCAAATTCGAACCGTGGGTGATCGGCATCGCGCTCGCTGAAAGTGAATGCCTTCATGGAAGTCGTGTACTGTATACGCAACTGCGCACAATTCTGTGAGTCACTTATAACTGTTTTGCCGTTACTTATTGCCAATTATGGACTCAGAATATTGTCCTATCATCTCATAGAGTCATTGGCACTTAATAATATGCTACACAGTGGCAGTGGGGGTCGCAAAATTCCGATTTATTACTAATAAACCCCAATGATCCGATCGAAATTAGGGATTTCGATTAGATCATTGGGGGTCACGTGCCACCCCCCCCACTGGTTTCGCCAGTGGATGCAAGTACACACTGACACAAACAAGGAGGTATAAACACACTTCTGTACACACGAGTACAAAGATGATCACATATAAAAAGATAAAGATCCCAAATACATATACAAATGGCTGATTTATGTCAGCAAAGACATTTTTTTACAACCGGCAGAGAACAAAATTTGCTGGAGAGAGCAGTCGCATGTCTGGTCAACATCTTTAACCCAGTCCGCGTGCTGACGCATCATGCCTTGTTTTGTTTTTAGGCTCAGCCAAGTGCAAACACACACTCAGTTCAGCTACACATTTGTACTGTTTTACATAATCAGGCACACTCCTAGCGTATTCAGTTCAATAACGACGTTCTACATTTTGTCATTTTGTTACCTCTCACACGCTGACAAAAAACCAAAGATCCCCCATATAGCCTTCAACAAACTGTTACGATAGGACAAGTGCCATTAGCGGGATATTATTTAGGCCAGGATGGCATGTCGACCACCACACATAGCCACTTCTGCCTCCTCTGTGCTGATGCTTACACACTGTCATTTAAGGCTGAGTCTACCTAAGGGTAGCTTAGGACTGGCTCAGATATCACTTGCCACTTACGTTAGCTATGGGTGAGATTTGAACTTGGGTTGCTAAGTTGGAAGCACAGTGGGTTTAACTACTGTGCCACATATAAAGTGAAATGCACATAGAGATTGTCTACCTGATTGACCAGGTAGAAAATCTCCAAGGAATGTATTTAATTAGAATTCCAAATAAAATAACTGTACATTCATATGTAAATTGCGTACTTCACATTATACCCATGTGCTTGTTGATAGATGTAGCCAAAGGAAATGTGGTGACTCCTGGACACAAAAGACTGATAATGACTTATCTCAGAGATTACTGTATTTAGGAAATTAATATACTGTAATATCCTTCATGATTTGTGTGTATTTAGAGGCCGTCATTGCACAAGCAGATGGTAAATAACAACTGAATTGAAATCAGAATACCAAATTGGAATTTGATTTAGAATTGTATTGCCTTGAATAGCAAATGCTGTATTGGGTATGCAAGTGTTTTCCCTTGTACTTGACTATACATGTTAAATTCTGAATCTGATGTTCAATGCATTGGCTGTGCTGGGAATATATATATGAAGCTCTGGGTTTGAGAGTTGGATGGACAAGTAATCACGGCAGACAGATTGTAAAGAGCAGATATGCAGGCATTTGGATTAGTACTGGAAAAAACAGATGGAAGCAGTGGCAGGGTGGGATTTTGAATGACACGAGATGTTTGGAGATGGAAAGGATCGCAGAAGCAGTTGGACACACGATGGTAAGGTGTCCCAGGCGGTGTTGACAAAACACTTCAAAAAAAGAGTCATGAGAGGAATGATAGATTAAGGTAAGTTTAAAACGTAGGCTTTCGCGACCAATATCATCCATAATAGAGGTTCTGGGATTAGATCGCGTAATTATATAAATGTGTCGTTAAAACCCGCCAACACCCGACACGGCCAACTAGTAAGGGTTGTCATGTAAACAGAACATGCCAATTTGGCATGTCGGGTGGTGGCGGGTTTTAACCACACATTTATATATTTACGCTATCTAACCCAAAAACCTCGATTATATAGGGTGTTTCAAAAACATGGACCCAATTTGAAATCGCTATATCTCTACAACCACGAACCGCCCATGAATGAAACTCTTACCACTTGAAAGGGCGGGGCATAAAGTTTCAAACGATTACCGCTACATGCCTCTGCCAGCACACACACAGCCCCGAGCTTGAGTCATTCGCAAGATGGTGACCCACAACACAAGGGGCGTTCTGCGTTCTGCAGTTCAGCAAGACTGAATCCGTAATTGCGGTGCAGTGTGCGTTTCAACGACGTTTTGGCATTGATCCGCCAATGTCAAAGAGCATTCGTCGTTGGTACCGACAATTTGAGGAAACATGTAGATCAAGAGAAGAGAAAAATATGTCTCGATATGGTTGACAAGATAGAGGCACGTAAACATATAAGGTTGATGTTTACTTTTCAATTTATGGAAATGGTCAATAGTATTCAATGTTAATGATATAAATGTTTGCAGAAAAAAAGCAAAGGATTAGACTTTGCAATGGTGCATTTGGTAGTTATTTGCCCACAGAGCATGTAAAGGGTTAATGCTAACCTGTGTGAGTTGGAGCAATAGGAAACTCCGCTAGGCTAGCACAGGGCTTTATTACTTCCTGGAAGCACACGTTAGCAGCAGCATGTTGACTTTTAAGCAGGGGCGGTTTCTTCATTTGGGCGATTTGGCGACGCACCACCAATGTCATTGAACCACAGAGTTACGCGAGCCGTTACTGTGCCTCTGGATATAGTCCAATCAGCGTCATGTCACGTTCTGTAGAGTACCGCCTCTTTTTGGGCGATTTCACTCCGGCTGAGAATCGCCCAGAGTGTTCCCATAGACTTACATTCAAAGATGTTTTTTTTCGAACGGCGGGCGCTGCAATGCATTCTCTATGGCTTCCGGGAGTGCTCGCACTAACGTGCTTACGTCATCATACGTAAGCACGTTTCAGTCAACAATATTATTTGTCGCTACCTAGTGGAATCTTTAATAAAAGAAACTGAGTGGATTGTAATAATAGTGAGTATAGAAACAAACAAGATGTATTGTAAGAGTCACTTTATTTTTCATTAATATTAAAGAAGTGAAGTTGCCTTTACATGCTTAAGCTGTTAATTTATCCATTGCATGGGTGGACCTTATCCGTATCAATCATCCAAACATTTCCCCCCCCCTGAGAGATTTTGCAGGAGCCGCCACTGCTGTTAAGCAAGGTAAGTGGACTGTGGCAGGACCTGTGGCTAAAATAAATGATAGCAGCATTACAAGACCGATGACAACATGGTAGCAAAAGGAGGGACTGTGCTCTAAAGGATGACCACTGCAAATGTGGATTCGTGAGACCAACTCAAGGATAGGAGAGAGATGGCGATTTAATTGCTGGACCGAGATGGAAGTTAATATTTTTGGGAGAAATTCAAATAGCAGGATAAATAAACTAGCCAATGAATGATATGCACAGAAGAGATATTGTTATTTCTATCTCACAATGTAGTAATTTATTGTAAGTTATTTCAAAATACGATGAATATCGATTCCAAACAGTATTTAACTTTTCCAAATAATGTGCTTTGTTTTGGGGCAGACAGTGTGCTCTAATAATGTTTTGCAATATTATTAGATGAGATTTGACCAGCTGAACCCTAAACAATGTTACATCCACAAATACAGTAACTACTAAACTAAAACTAGACTGTTTATTTTACCAGGTAAGGCCCCCTGAGCTGTATAGCTCTTTTTCAGAAGCAACCTGGCCACAAATGATAGCTCAACGAAGTGGCTTATCATGTGGATATTTATAGCAGTAAATTACTGTACTATAAAATGCATGTTGATTCTAAACATGGAGGGAAAAGTCGAAGGACCCAGAGAAAAATCCACACGACCACAGGGAGAACATGCAAACTCCAAATATATTGCAGGCATGAGGGGAAGAATCGAACCTACAACTTCCTGTATACAAGGCGAGGTAGTTGACATCTCATTCCAAGTGCATGCACATTAAGGCTGGGTAATTCTAACAGGTTTTATCCTGGAATGATTATTACATTCTGAGAATCTAAAAGGATTCCTAATGGGATTGTTGGATTATAGGAATGGAATTGTTGGGGAGGTGGGGGGGGGCTTGACTGAGCCAGACATGGTATTCATGATGGCCTTGTGGCCTGGTCGGGCTTACCTAAGCCAGGCATGGTATTCATGAGGGCCTTTGTGGACTGGTCGGGTTTTACTGAGTCAGTCATGGTATTCATGTGGGGCTCTCTGGCCTGGTCAGGCTTTCCTGAGCCAGACATGGAATTCATAAAGGCCTCTGTGGCCAGGTCGACCAAATTGAATCTCTAATGATAAGCAGGAGGAATGCCTGGTTCATACGAGGGAGCTGGAATCAAAGTTGGAATCAAATTTGATTCCAGCCATCTGTTGTAACCAAAATCACCAATGCTGCATATAAAATAGACATTGGCCACTATGCCAGCCAGGTTTCTTTTGCCTCCCAAGTTACCTGAACGCCATTCCAGAACTGGGGAGGAATCAGGCCAATTGTCCATGCTGAGCATCGACATTGAGATTCAATTATGATTTTAGCAGCCTGGAATTAACCAGAATTGGCATTCTGGCCAACTGGAATCAGCAATGCTTGGCTAGGCGTAGCTGAATTTTAAGTGAGCATAGAAGAATGTTAGCTAAACTAGATTTGCAATAAAATGGCAAAAGAGTACAATTATATTGCACGAATCTTCCAAATTCCCATTAAAATGAATGGAAATTGTACCATGGGAATAAACCATATAAAAATCACAGTTCCTGCAGGAATTGTCCAGGGTGAAATTGTTGGAATTTAATTAGATTCCTGCAGGAATCGCTCACCTCTATTATTGCACATTGATACACACCATATGTGCATACATACAGTACCATGTGAAAACCTTATATTTGGTTGAATCTAGAAAGCGTGCTTCTTAAGATGCATGAGTGGTTGCTCTTTTTTATTGTTCACCACTCAAGTGTGTTTTTTTGCACGTTTAAACCTTGCCCTGAAATAAACATGCTAGCAAACTTTGGCTGATACGAAGGTGACTACTTTGTTATTATTCCACCTTCAATGGCCTGTGAATCTCGTGCCCTCTGTTTGCACACGTATCAAAACTTTCACTGCTCTTTAAATTGTTGTATATATTCCTGAATAATGTGAATGTGAAAATAAAAAAGAAATATATTTTTTTAATTTACTTGATCAGTATGATACTTATATAGTAGTATATTCAGTGCAAAGTGAACATTTTTTATTAGATTTTATATATATTAATGTATATGGAAAAAAAACCTGAATCATGACAGTTTTTACTGGTAGAAACCACCTGGTTCCACCAGCCCACATGGGATTATTGTGTCCGTCCATCGTGCATCCAAAAATGGGAGGGGTTGGACGGGTGGAGAGGGGAGGGTGGGGAGGGGCTGGTTTGGGAAGGTTGGGAGGGGCTGGGTGGGGAGGGTGGGGCTGAGTAGAGGGTGGGAGGGGTGGGGCTGGGTGGGGAGGGGCTGGTCACCCCGTGGTGCCCTTATAAAACTCAACGTTTAACCTACTCACGCCGGCTTGTGCCCGCCCTCACAGTCGGCCATATTTGCGGAATACACCACGCCGCCGTTGACCCTGGCCATTGACTGAGCAACCCAACGTTCCTACCAGCTCCCTCCGCAGGAATGTGTTATTTTAAGGTTCTGTCTATTTCGTTGAACGATGTCTCATAAAATGCACTGCTAATGCCAGGCGTGATACTACTTAGCAAAGTGAAGCCACGACTTTTCTATTTTTACCACGAAATGTTTTTTTTATATATTAGTAAGTATACGTTTATATTTTTTGTAATTCCTTATGTGAGTATTTGGGCCACTTTGGGGAGTTCCATTTATGAATAGCTTCGGCAATCATTGTGCGAACGATGGCACTTAAAACAGAGATAGTTGAACGTGTTGGTGGTCAATTTACAAAAAAAATCATGACTCTTGGTAACCTAATGCCATCGTTTTACTATTATCACAGTATGTGTTATAGTTAATGGATAGAAAACTAGATTCACAAATGCAATTGTGAAGCAGTATGGAGACATAACCTTAATGTTATACTGAAGGCCCCAGGGATCTTAACAATGCATAATAGTAAGTGAAGTTGATGTTAATTACTTGTGCATGTAAACTGCAGGTTTACACCCAAAGGGGTTGTTTATTTTCACGATAGTATGGATATGATTGTATACAGTGATTAAATACATTCTGCTTTTTAAATCATAGCCATCATACATCAAGACACTTATTGGATATGCACAGGCCAAATATATATAAATATATATTAGTTTTCGATTTAAAGCTTTCGTGACTGCAGGGATTCATCTTCTTGGTTCTTTCGGTAAAGTCACGTAGAAGGGAAGTAATAAAATAATAAAAATAAAACATAATAAAACAATTCTCACGACGTTTCGGCCACAACGCAAGCAGCCGTCCTCAGGTGAAAACCAGGTCCGTCGAGGCGACAGAGTCTGAATGAAACAGCATGTGAAACAGCATGTGATTGCCGAAGCTATTCATAAATTGTTTTATTATGTTTTATTTTTATTATTTTATTACTTCCCTTCTACGTGACTTTACCGAAAGAACCAAGAAGATATATATTAGTTGCATATGGAAACATTGTGGAAAGCTTGATGTGTTAGTTGTGTCTTCCAACCTGTCTGATCAGACTGATAAGATAGGGTAGGGCAAATGTATCTGATGAGTGCACTGTGCAAAGGCATGTCTACTTTTCATGCAAGTAAACAAATACAAAATAGACAAAGATCCCCCAAATTGTCTGTGTCAGCATGTTCGTGCAGGTGCTGTTAGTGAGTATCTATTGAGGCCAACATAGTACACTAGGTGGTGGAGTTGCCATCAACACATCCGATCACCTTTGTCTCCCCAGTTCTCATGTTTTGCACATTGCAGCAGGTGCTCATTATAGTGTAGGCGACCTGGGAAAGGTTGCGGCTTAGAGATGAACTCCAGTTACAGGGTCTGCAGCGCAGTGCACCGATCTGCATGCCATCGCTCCCCACATGGAACAAACAATACAGGCGCACACATTGCATCAGTCTAATGAGAGAACATGTTGCAGACTTGATGAAAAAACTATTTTAAAAATTGTGACTCTCATGGCTCTGACTTTAATAATTTAAAAGCAATGTAATGGCATGTTTTTGCCTATTAAAATGGAAATGCATTAATTGAAACTACTCGACAAAGCATTGCAGTGGTGTTTTTTTTTTATTGAGCACATTGAGCTAGCATTTAGGTTAAGCATGTCAATGCCACATGGCAGTTCCAGGAATGATTGTCAAATTGAAATGAATGGATAATTTTATGCAATACCCACATATGTTGATTTCATGAACGATTCCATAATGCATCGTGCACATTTGATATTTACTTCACAGATGGCTTTATTTATTAGTTCCTGAAAATTGTAGGAGGTGTAAGCAACCACCTTTATATAACCATTTGCAGTGTATAGACATTCAGTAATAATACAGTTATTATAAATATTAAATTAGTTAACTGCAAATATTACTGGCACGGTACATGTATATGGAAGGCGCTTTATGTGTAGTGGTGCACTGGTTCACACACTGCATTATGAACCTGGCAACCTGAGTTTTATTCCCAACCTCGGTGACATGGAATATTTAAACTGATCTTCGACCAACCTGCACTGACCAGCGTGGTGAAGTATGGACGCATAACCCCCATTACCAATACGGTGTAGAGCAAACGTTTCATGTTATTGAAGTTAATATCTACCAAAAACAAACGGCAATCATTAGAAATGCTAATTTTAGCATGGCTGAACTGGTGAATGGATATACTGTCATGGGCATTCTTATTTGTTCTAAACAGTGAGCCTATACACGAGTACGTCTTATACACTTATAAGCAGTACTCTGCAATTTGTTAATGCCAAGTACTTTTTTTTACATAATAAAATAATTTTAAACAGTCTCCAACAAGGTGTAATTAATTAATTAATATTTGCTAATGCAATTGTCCACTTGCAAAGTAAATGTATTATTTTGGCCACACCTGAAAATGGTCTTGCAATATTAAGTTGGAGCTTGTTACATCTGATAATGAACCTGAATTTGGTTGCTCTTCCAATTTGTCTTTAAATATTACTTTAATTTACCGTTATCTGTTTTCGGTGTTCTTGCTCTAGCCTTCAAAAAGCACACGCATGCACTGCAATACTTGTAAATTCATGTATAAATAAAAGAATAATTGTGACTTTAATTAGGTACTTCAAGTTGCATGTGTTAATTATTTGGCATATGGAAAAGGACACCTAATTGTACGGTCATGATAATTGTGTCCTAGTATCACTGTGTTGTCATTTAATTTTCTATTGAACTATAGCAGTTTATTTCAGTAAAATTTTCATGCCCTGGGGTAATGGTTACCACACCGCACTTGCAATCCACAGGCTGCCGAATGGATTTGACCTCCCAGAGGTGACAGAAACAATCCCCTTGGCTCTGTCCATCCAGCAGCCCAAACGGGTACACCACAGTTGATTGGCAGGTTGCATGTGGTGGGGTAAAGTGTGGGTACTCCTATCTGTCCAATATGTCTGGCTAGCATTGAAGAGCAGGCCACATCGCGTAGAGGGGCTGTCTAGAGCTCTGCCTAATGGAGTGATGGGAGGCTGCATCTATTCTGCAATCTTTACCTTAAGTTGAATTATGGCTTCTCTCTGCAGTGAATGGGGGGTGGTCCCTGTGGACAGAGTGGTCGCCCTGTAACAGCAAGTGTGGCCGTGGCACCCAGAAGAGAACCAGGAGCTGCACCAACCCAGCCCCTCTCAACGGAGGAGCTGTGTGCAATGGGCAGGGTACTCAAAAGATCTCCTGCTCCACCATTTGTCCAGGTATACTTTCATGGTTTTTGTGATGATATCATTCTGGCCTGACACAGCTGGGTGGCAGTGTGGTTTAGAGTACCTGACTCACAATCATAAACATATGAGTTTAAATGCCATCGATTCAGCCAATCATTTCAAGGAAAGAAATAGCCTTGGCAATTATAGATAATTTAGCCTCTTCCATTGAAATGTTGAATTTCCTCCACTGCATCAGAGCCACCAACTGAGATACCTGCTATCTAATTACTCATTTTTAAATAACTAGACTGGTTTGTTTTGATTTTTTATGCATACACAGCAACAATCCTGACAGCACACATAATGCAATGCAAATGAAAGGGAGAAAACAAGACTGAGTGTAAAAGCAGGTTATGGCAAATTCCCATAACCTCTTCATGGCCCAAGTACCAATAGCTTCAAGGGAAGATTTGGTGAGTTTGAAATACTGAAATGAGTAATCAGCTTCAAGGTGAATTCAAACAGCTTTTGGAAGTTGTATAACTGAATAATTCTACTGGGATTGTTAACCACCATGCGGCATTGCTACTGTTAATTTTATTCTCTCATCTGAATTCACAATTTTGCTCCAATACATTTAATGATAGGAATTTATGATGCTAATTGAAATGCTGTTTTGAATCAGAGGTTAATTAATTTCTAGAAATGATTATACTAATTTACATACTTTTCGTAAATTCTGCCTGAAAGGGTTGTCATAGTCATGGTGGTTTTGAGATATTCAATTTTCTGTGGGTGTGTGTGAAGAGCGGTAGTGTTGCGGTTAGCAACTTTAGTTCGATTTCCTCTCACAACCAACACGAGCGATGATTATCTGAACCAGTCCTGGTCCTCCGCTATACCGACTCAGCCTCAAATAAGTACATGGTGTAAACATCACCGCTAGGGAAACAATGGCTGTCAGGAGTGATGCTGGCCACCCACACCCTCGTGTGCTGTGCTGGCCTTCATAGGTGCTCGCTTACAGCACTTGCCCCAACAGTCTGCATTGGCTATAGAGGGGATCTGTGTATAATATATGACTTGCACAGATATGTATATTTTATGAGATGCAAAAGGTAAATTTTAAGTAAATGTTCTGTGAACTTGCAAGGTTAACATTACAGTGTTTATTACGACAATATATATTTTGAAGCTGGGTTCTCTCTGTTTACATATTGCCAATTTTGGCGCAGTGATCCTGTGCTGTATAGGAAATGGATTTTCCTCTATGCACCCATTTGCACAAGTCATAACGCCATTCTGTGCTGTGTTCCGCGTGCCGTGTCGTCGTCCCGCCTGCTGTGCTGCGTGCCGTGGCAGTGGATGGCGGCTGGGTGGAGTGGAGCAAGTGGTCGACCTGTGGTCCCGACTGCACCCACTGGAGGAGCCGGGAGTGCTCCAACCCGGCCCCTGTCAACGGAGGCAAGGATTGCCACGGCTCTCCACTGCAGTCCCAGAACTGCTCCGACGCTCTCTGCATACAAAGTGAGAAAATCATATTAATACCTTTTTGCAATAATCAAAGTTGCACGTGAATTTGCAACTCTTGTTTTTTTTTATATATGGGGAACATTATTTACAAGTGGCAGACTCTGCCATGGTGTAATGGCTGTGAACGCCAGCAGTGTACATGGGTACAACACAGTTAGTCGATCAGCAGCTTGTGTGTATTGGGGTAAAAAATGGGTACTCCTATGTTTTGTTAAACGTCTGGTCAGTGTGGAAGATGAGACCAAATACAAAATACCTTCGAGGGGGGCTTTCGAGAGCCTTCTAGAGAGGGGGGGCTCTCTAGAGCTCTCTAGAGCCCCCCTCTAGTCGAGGCCCTTCTGACAGCAGTGGTGTGAGTGAACAATGGCTGGGCTCTGCACATTTACCTTTTATTTATAAATAAGCAGTCCTGCATTATATCAGTTTTTAATTAATCGTGACGTAACAAACCAAATCAATGACATGTTGTCAATAATGAAACAGTTTTTTTATGCATTCGCCGAAAATAGATCAAATCTTCCCATAATTTATATTGCCAATTAGTGGCAAGTGCATATAAAATAAAATAGCTGTGAACTGCAATTAAGCATGATTATGTGGGTATCCTCATTACACAAGGGGGAGCCAAAATAGTTGTATGCATTAAATTGTTATTGCATGCATTTATTAGTCTAGAGAGTGTGTTTCCTCTGATTGTGGGGTGCTGAGAAATCTACTGCTAAATGTGCTCATGTATTAAATCGTCCATCTGATCCGCAGTTATCTTTACGCACCACACTTTAAGCAGATGCTAATATTCCCACTCTTGATTGTCTATGCAATCACACCCATGTTATCAGCTCAACTTCAGCAGCATGTGAGATTGATAGAATGACAGAATGGATTCTGCATTAATCATTGAAGTCTATGGAAATGCGAAATGCTCTTGAGGTGTTCATATAGCAGCATCCGTATGGCTCACCCACGATCCGGCATGCGTACGTTCCAGCAGAGCAAATTATAATTTTGCACTGGTAATGCTTTGTAACATTTTCATTTAAATAAAAAAAAGTACAAGAAACATAACTTTATAAACGCATTCTGTTGAACATTGATTGTATATTTTTACATGGGCAAAATAGTTTGGCAGTATAATGGATGATTTATCAGGCAACCTCATGAGGTTTTTTTTTTATACCCGTCACGGTTGCGTAATGGTATATTTAAAATTATCCATCAAGCATTCAGTAGATTGATGTTTACATAAACACATTTCGAATTATTAATTTGATGGCTAACATGAGTGCAGCACAATACAAATTTGCCTGTGTTTGATATTCACACCTTCATGAAATATGTTTCTATCATTAGCACAGTAGAGGATATTTTTCAGAGAAAGTTCACACGACTGAGCATTTTATTCATAATTATGAGAAAAGTATTCCTGTTATATGTTAATGCGCTCAACTCCACAGGGTTTCCAGAGTTAATGCACTAAAATCACAGGTGACATTTTAAAAATAACATGACAAAACTAATCAAAAAGTGTATTGTTTTTGTTTTGCAAATAATCCGATGACAATGAAGAATTATGTGGGGATGACATAGTGAAACTTGTCCTGGGCTTCCATTAAAATCTGTTCTTTAGTTTGAGTTCAATATTTGTAGAGGCAGCAGTATCATTCCTAAAATGTTTGCTTAGTGCTACTCCATATAAATTGAATACAATAGTGCAGGTATCTTATATTGTTGGTCACTCAACATCATGTGTGTTGGGTCAAGAGACTATGCACTCAGCATCACTTTGTTCCTCTATCCATTGAGGCATTTATGAAAAAGCTCAGCCACTATAGACTAGAACGCATTGCATGGCACATTCTATGAGAAAAGTGTTTTATCAAAGACCGTATAACTTAGCTGCACTATGTGTCAAGAATACGAAAAATAATGTGTAAATAAGACCAGTGCAGAGGATAAATAATCGTAAATAATAATAATACTGCAATCATATTGAATTATCATAATCATGTACTTTATCCAAGAAAGAGTTTCAACACTATTGCCGAGGGGGGTCCTATATCCGGGATGTTTGGCCAATCCTTTTGGAGGGGTGGTTGGCATGTAGAATTAAACCACAATACCTTGAGAAAACACATGCAATATGAGGAGATAACAATTACAGTTTTGGATTTATGTTGCATCCACATTTGACTTGCATCTCACGAGGCTGTACAGAATCTGGGAGGGGGGGGAAATCGAAAAAGCGCATCATTCGCGGAGAACATAAAATAAATAAATAATCTTCACCACTGTTCAACCAAGCCATGTTGGTGCCTCGCTGAGCCAGTCCGACTCGGCTCACGAGGTGCCGGGGCTGTTTTTTCCCTGCCATCGCCGAGCTGTGCCGCTGGCATCACACGCAATGTCACGAGATGGAATGTGGCCGATGTGGTGATGCTGTATCTTCACAGTTGTACTGACTGACATCATAGGTAGAAAACCAGTCATTTGCCCCACCGCTGGCCCCGCTTGACCCCGAGCCACATTCAGATGTCTTGTGAGGCCAGATTAGCATGGTTTGGTTCTGGCTTAGCATTTCCAGCATCTCCGATTAGCACAGTTGGCTACGTACAGTGTGAAAGAAGTTCAACATACATACATAGCAAAGAGCCAATGGAAAACCGCTCTGCTGTGAAGCCCTGTTGTATACATATATGTTGAACTTGTTTTTTCACACTATGTGTTGTCAACCTTGATAATCAGAGGTGCGAGGGAAACACAAACAACAGTTCTAAAGAAATGAATTTTCAATCTAGATTAAAGAACGGCTGAGATGAGCCGGTGTAAATGGATGGAGTCGTGACGGTCCTTTGAAAGTCTCTGTGCCACCAGCAGAGCCACGACAGGCTCTCAAAGTTCCGCACCGGTTCAGAATACCTCACCTGTTTATTGTGCAATATTCCTTGAGGACCCTGCACTCGTTCTCTGCAAAATTGATGTCATTGTCTTTGTTTTGCTATTGCTGTGCTCACACACCACGGATCCTCCTTGTAGAATAGCTTGGAAACTGAATAATCGGGATCATCATCCGTGCAACAAATCAAATAAACTTAAACTTAAAAGTGTGCATGATCCTTCGACCCTTGAGTCCAAATCCCTGGATTGCAAGGATGTGACACACCTTAGTGAAAATTATAATGTAAAATGTATTCAGTGGAAGCTGTTAAAAATCCTGCTTACTTAAAAAAAAATGCATGAAAAAAGTTATATTTTTGTTACACTGCTTTGCCAATTAAGCCATGAAATTAAGTGTTTTCACGTTAGGATTAGCAGAGTGGTGGCCACAGTAGAGATCGTTAAACACAATAATGTAGGTTTCTAACAAGGATTAGAATGCAAGTTCCAGTTGATGTAATGGCCTTCGTGATAATTACATAAGTGCTATGGCAATTGTCCTCATTCCTTAAAGTGTAATTCCTCAATCCTCAATTGTCCATCTTTTCACATCCACTACAGTAACTGGCTTTAAAGTATTGAGGTCATCTATTTAGGCCACCACAACCCACTAATGTTTTCTTTTGAGTTATTTCAAATTGCAATTGTGATCCAGGGCTGTATTCCGTAATTCAATCGCAATATGAAGCTGTTTGCAAGCATTGTACAACTCGTTAAAGGCAACTTTAATCTCGTGCTACATAAATGAGCATTGGTGACATGTTACGAATTGCATGTGCACACTAATATTGATCCATATCGGAATATCAGTTTCCTATACATGAAAAACATTTGAATGCATAAATCATGCAATTCCGAATTTTATATGCAATTGAATTCTCAATACTATCTGAAACGCACAAGTAAAGATTTTAAGTATAGTGGTTTTTAAAATAATATAAATTGTTATTCAAAGTAAAGTGGCACTGGTATAAAATTGTGCAAAATAAAACCGTCAATTGTAGCTCGAGGCACGCAATTGAATGGCTTTGTAATGGCCGTCATTGCAACTGCCATGTACCGGTGGCCTTTACCTGGTATAACATAAAATAATTGTTTACGTGTGCTTCACATGCAAGAATGAAAATATTGATGCTCATAACGTGACTTCTTGATACCAATGGCTGCTTTTTGGATGCATTGAAGCATTGTAATGCTCAGCATAATAGTTGTTTCCACTGTGCATTGAAACGTATACCCTAGATTTCCAAATATTGTATTTTATGTGCAATATGATGGATGAACATATGTATCTTTCATGCGACGGTGATAAAGTCCCTAAATACGTGCAAGAGCATATCTTGTGGCCATCTTTGTGAATGTATTACATGCCGAAAAGCAAGACATTTTGCTGTACTAAGGTTAAACAATTTGACTTAAAGCTTTCATAAACATTTTGCCAACACAAGCCATAGGTTCTGAGAGCTGCAGTGGCATCTTCATGACAAGCTACTTTGCCCTGTTACCACGATAGTATCGCACAATGTCACAAAATCCCCGGAGAAGTTGTCAACCCCCAGTAATAGTCACAAAGCATTTTTATGAAGGTACAGTGGCTTACTAATATTATTACTTGCCTCATTCATTGTTTTATGTGTTTATTTATTGACTTGCATGTTAGTATGTCACCAGACCATTATGGTCTTTGTTGGGATAAAATAAATATCATGTGCTTTGTGAGTGTTACTTTTTTTGCCAAATAGATAATGGATGAATTGGTTTGTTGTCAAGTATTTCTAGTTATATCAGACAATTTTACAATAATGGATTTTGACAGCAATGAAGAATGGCCTTCTCTTATAGAAGATTAAGTCAAATGTTTTAATATCCTTGTTAGAGAATCCAGGGCTTGTTGGTAAATTTATTAAACAATTGACTAACCCAGCTGGGAGGCTGTTCACCATAAAATTATATCTTATATGAGCAAATCTAACAATAATGTTGATTATGATTTGATTATGATGTAAGAATAGTATACTATAGTAATCTACAAACAATATAGTGTCTATTGTTCACACTATTTAATGTATAAATGCACCTGCCACATTATATATATTTCATATGAATACGATATGTTTTCTAGTCTACCAAAGAGTCTGCCTGCTTATCTGATGCTGCCAAGCACGTAATGGTCACAAAATATGTGATGCTTTTACTTGCTTCGTTTATTAATTTATATTTGCCTGCAACAAACATTAATAAGTGGCATTGTTGGCCAAGAACAACTCGTCAGATAAAGAGATTGTGGTCTAGTGGGAATTGGGTGTGCAGATGTCCCCACTACCAGTTGGCAAAATTACATCCTCCTCTTGATCCAGTCACCTCTCACTTCCACCACTGCAGTCCAGCCTCATCCCTATAGATGTGTTAGGGTTGGCTGTTGCTGCAATCGTTTTCACAGGAGAAAGAAACGTGCGTCATGGCCACTGATAATCCTGCCCTGGCTTGCATACAGACAGCAGATTGCATAATCGTAGTTTCATAATTGCCCTCTCACTTCCCCTCCACATCCTAAAATTAGGTCTACCTTTACAATTGCACACTCTTTCCTCTTGGCCCCAAGGGGATTTTTTGGATGGACCGCTAACTTGATGAATTTCCGGTAACAGGGTGTTGTTCATTTGGAGATGAGCAGGAGCTGAATATCATTATAATCTATAGACCCTTCAGCATTTTCGGTATGGTAAGTTTTAGACATTAACATTGCAAAGCATGTATTTTTTTATTTGCTGCTTCCATGGATGACTTAATAGAACAAGTAACTGACATTACTTGTTTGGAAATATGTTCATGCTTGTTCCTGCAAAGTCATTATTGAAATGACTTTGCGCACGTTTGACTGTGCGCATGTTTCACAAAGGTACAACATCACAATTTGCTGTTTACTGTAAACCAGACCCGCTGCGAACTAGCTGTAAACTCATTGAGCGCCACATATACACCACACTGCTCAAAACTCACACCTCTGATTAGCATGGTTGGCTACAACATACATACATACAGACACAAATAAATGTGCTTTTCAAAATGTTCCTAGAAATGTTAAAACTTGACAAACTGAGAGTCAACTCGAACTCTCGTCAACACAAGGCCACTGCAGGGGTGAACCAAATGCTGTCTGCCTCATTTCACAGCACTGTTTTCACAGTTCCCTTGTTAATATACACTTCTCTAGCCATACTAAATAAATAACACAAATTACCCATTATTGCCTTATTGTTGTGTTATTGCCATTCCCTGGCGTGTATTGCAAAGAGAGTGGAGTGTGCACTGGATTGGCATCGTTATTATGACCGTTTATTCCTCTTTTATATTCCCTGTGTGTGGCAGCTTCAGAGGCTGGAGATGAGGTCGCCTTGTATGCCGGTGTGGCTGTAGCCCTCGTGATATCTGTCGGGGTGGTGTTGGCTGCGTCCTTTGTTCTGTATCGACGACGTCGTCAAGAATATGGCTCTGACATCATCGACTCAGCCTCGGCCCTAACCGGCGGATTCCGTCCCGTCAATCAAAAAGCTGGCAGAAACGGTGAGCTTCTGTGATGGTTTATTTTTCTCAAGATCTATTTCTTGTATTCCGTTGCTTTTTATTATTTGCTTTCATTTATTTTGTCTGATTTAAAATGCTTAAACGCATTAATAGCTTTAGAAAATGTAAAAAGAAAATTGTAACCAATAGAAATCAACAAAGAGTATGTTAATTCGTTTCATTATAACATTTTGTAAATAATAAATGGATCTTTCTTGCCTCTTAATTAATGTAGAAATGTAGTTTTCTGCTTCCTGATTTAATTAGCTACACCACAAAGTTAACAAGGCTTCATCAAATGAAAGTAATGCTCTTAATTATTTCATATCAAACTTCAATGGGTGCTGAATAATAGCTCAAATTATTAATTGGTACAGCTGATTAATCTTTTGCCAATTCTTGTTGAGGCCACATTAAACCATTCTGGCCAAATAATTGCCTTGTAATTATTATAATTAAATATAATTATAATTATTGAATATTAAACAATTGCCTTGTAATTGCCTTGTAATTAAAGAATTGCCTTGTAATTATTTCACTGTACCAGCATTTTGCGATCTAATCTGTTGGAGGACTGAATGCACATTACAAGATAATGTTTTTGTTTACATTCTTCTAAGCAGATGATTCTCATTTACTGAGGACTGCCATTCAGCCTGACCTCACAGCCTCGGTTGGGACGTTTCCTCAGCCCGTTTATCCTGTGCACAATGCCACCCATAAAATACAAATGACTCAGTCTCCATTACTGGAGCCATTGCCTGGCCACAAGATAAAGGTATGCAGCTCCTCCGTGCTCGCCTCCACTGACAACGAAGGCGATGAAAGTGTTGGACCATCACCAAAAAGGTCAGGATTACAAAAATGCTCTGCCACGCTGACAGGATTTGGCACAATGCAATCGCCTAGAAGAACGCACCTTCACGTTGACTTATCCAGCTTGGAGACTCACCATTCCACGAAGAGTTCGCTGGAAACGCAGGCCCCTGAAGCTGACTCTGGAAGCCTTACCGATTTCAGTACAAGTACCTCTCCTAAAAGGACCTTGCGTCAAGGAGTAAGCTCCGAAGCACATTTGAACAGCTTGTCTCGCATGCATGGAGCAAGGCAACCCAACAAAATGATCCAACATCACACTTTGGATTTGGCACCAACAGAAACGTGTCTTGACAATAACGAGATGCACCAAGTTGGGTCGGACACGACTGTATTTGGGACATTCTGCTGTCTTGGTGGACGGCTGACCATCGCACACTCTGGTAAAGTACTTTTCTTTCATCATATTTTGTTTATAAATAATCAACTGCATGTAGCTGCGGATTTACATATAAAAGTTGTGTCCCTTTAATTGATGTAGTACGTTTCACGTGTTTCTGTTTGAGAAAGGAATAAAGCAATGCATTAATGTTTGCGAATAATTCATTGACCAAATGAGATGTATCTTGTTATAGTTTCTACCTTTTTATTATTGCATTTAATCATTTATAATACAAGGTAAAACATAGGTATTGAGCTGTTTTAAAGCATGGTCTAGTTTTCATATTCTATATTTTCTTGTATGGATCTGTCCTTCAAACTTATAAACTATGCTTGTCATTTATCCCGTGTATGTGTTCTTTTTCTCAGGAGTGAGTTTGTTAGTACCACCAGGGGCTATTCCACCAGGCCAGTTCTACCAGATGTACATCACCATCCACAGAGAAAAGGAGAAAAGGCAAGATGCCAATACTGACTTCTTTGTGCAGTATTTCAAGAGCAATCCACTTAGCGTTGCTTTTAGTATCACATGCCTGAGAGATGTTCGAATGTCGAAACTGCATGTTCATATATTTCTCTTCTAAAAATCTATACGTATATTTTTTGCTACTTAAAATAAAATATATTTACCAAATGTACATTTATATTTTTGACCTTCAGGAAAATTACAAGAAAAATATGCAAATGTAACTAATTAGAGAATAACAGAAATAGGTCATAGCTAAATAGTGGATGTTAGATTATATTTATTTTAATCACCTGGAAATAGCCTTTGAAAGCACAACTATTTAACCTTACAAAAAGCAAATACATTTATTATTTGTTTAAGTAAACAAAATGTACATATTTACAACTAAAACATGATTCTTTATCCTGCAATTAGTTGCAGTAACAATTGACATAACGAATCTCATAATTATATTTATTATAACTTATAAGTGACACAATGCAAATTATAATTCCTACGAATAAAATTACAATGTGTGGTTTTGTTAAACATCCAGATGAAGAAAAAAAACATTACCACATTGTTATATGGCAGTGAAATCAAATCCAAGAAGCCTTTGGTAAATAAAGGCATGCGGCTTGATCCTCACCACTGATGGCACGAGATGTCATGGTGAGATATGTTAGAAACTACAGTAACAGATAATCTTAAATATTGACCTAAAGCTTTCGTGACTGCAGGAATTCATATTCTTTGGGTCTTTTGGTAAAGTCATGTAGATAGGTTCAAAGAAAATAACAAAAAAACTACAGTTTAATAACAAAAAAACTACAGTTTTTTGTTATTTTATTTGAACCTATCTAAAATAACAAAAAAACTGTAGTTTAAATAACAAAAAACTGTAAGCAGATAATGTTGGCAAGTTGTCTACACAGCTGTAGCCTTTATCGAATTTAAACTGCCCACAACTGGAGCCACTGGTTCCTCATCACAATGTCTTGGCGAAATTCACAAAATATGATAATTGGTTCTTTACCCTTCTATCTGGCAACAAAACTGACACCTTTTTTTTGCAAGGAGTCATGTTTGCATAGACCGCAATACCTGCAGTCATAAATACAAACAAAAGACATAACTCTGATAATGTGCACTGTCCTTGAAGTTGATTGGTCCACACCCGAGACAGGAAAGCTGTCTCAGTGCACATTATCAGAGTTATGTCTTTTGTTTGTATTTATGACTGCAGGTATTGCGGTCTATGCAAACATGACTCCTTGCAAAAAAAAGGTGTCAGTTTTGTTGCCAGATAGAAGGGTAAAGAACCAATTATCATATTTTTACTGGCAAATGAGGTCCCCATAGTGAAATTCACAAAATTACGATTACGTGGCATGCCAAAGCACATATTGTTCACATTCAATAAAAATAATAGCATCGACCATACCTAAGACTAGTCAGTACCTGTAAATATTTTACTTGCTTTAAGAAAAAATCTTCTTCACTACCACACCCAGTTTCGTTTGATAACTACTCACCAAAACTGATGTGCCGTTTGTCTCAGGATATTTCGAATATGATTTCTTTTCATTGTTTCACAGAACACTTTTGGGTATATATATATATATTTTTTTATCCAGGAAATGTATATTATGTATTTGATAAGATGGGCTCTCTGAAGCTGCATCTTGAAGAGAGGCCCTTCCTCCAGCAGTACACCATCAGTGCATTGTCGGACTGCACCTTTTTTATTTGATGACAGGAAATATCAATATGGGATCATAAGCTCCACGTGGTAAGATTTGAAGCAATTGATGAAAAAATAAAACACTTAGCAGTGTGTCGTTATATCAGTCAACAGGGAGTGTTTGTGTGTATGTGTTCACAGGCCAGTGCTTGAGAACAGCCAGACCCTGCTGAGCCCCGTGGTATCATGCGGGGCCCCCAGCGTCCCCCTCCTCTCCCCCGTCATCCTCTCCCTCCGCCACTGCGCAGAGCTCAGCCCGGAGGACTGGGCCCTCAGCCTCAAGCGGCAGCTCGCCTCGGGCCCCTGGGAGGTGACAGCTCACAGCCCCATGCTGATATTACGCATGCAAATTATACACGCGTCAGTGCACATTACTACGGGTTTTTTTTGAGTCGCACAGAGAAACGTCGCTATTGGTTGATTCACGGCTGTAGCTAGGCTACCAGGGCACTGAGGTCTTGCAGATAGTGGTGTTGGTACAGTAGGGTCAGTCTTTGTGCAGGAGTAATAGGTTTGTTTTGTACATCTCAGATTACTAACTTGGGTTCTCTGTGAAAATGGCATGGTTGTAATTGCAGCCATGTGTTGTATGTATTTTGTTTAGTTATAAATGATGCCTGTCATGGTGACATATTCAATGGTGTTTGTTCACTGTGGCTACAATAATTTAGATAAACCCCTTGGACATGTTTCGGCCTCAATAATGAAGGCAGAATCGTTGAAAGTAAGGTTAAAAAATAAAGTCTAATAATTTTCTACTTGAGATTTTTTTTTTACAAGTGGCTAAGCAACGTTTGTAAATATTTTTTTATATATTGATAGCATTTCGATCTCAGCACGTTTTCTTCCAGCTTGCAAACACTTTATTTCTCAATGCATGCGAATTATTCTTAAAATGCCCAGCTGGTAACAATGCTTATGAAAAATGCAATTCATCTTCACCAGATAAACCCAATAAAGTAGAGGCATTATTTGCCTTTCTTAATTCTCCCCTCCTGGATTGATTTTTAAATAGTTTTTTTTTAATTGTAATTCCAACATGAGCCCGGTACAGAGCATAAACTCTAACAAAGCGAGGGGGCACAGAAACTCGCATGGACAAGAGTCCTAAACTCAATTACCCTTGGGTTTAGGGGAGGACAAAAATCGGGTCCTCGCTGCCCACCCAGGTGGAGACCTTGAGCGGGGTAGCATGGATTTTTATATGGGGAAGGGAAGATGAGGGAAGAACAGAAGTAAGGGGATATAAGGGATGGGAAGAGAATGAGGAGGGCACCGTTTGGATAACGTGCTAGATGACCGTGCACGGGCATTGCAGGAGGTGCTGAGGCTGGGCGAGGAGCCTGCACGGCCGCCGTGCTGCCACTGGCAGCTGGAGGAGCGGGTGTGCCACGTGCTCACAGAGACACCGGGCACGTACGCCGTGCTGGGGGAGGCACTCGGCCCGGCGGCCGTCAAGCGGCTGAGGCTGGCGGCGTTCGCGCCCAGCGTGTGCCCCTCCCTGGAGTACAGCCTGCGCCTCTACTGCCTCAACGACGACACCGAGTCCCTCACGGTGAGAGCCGCTCCCTTCCGAGGATTACGCCCACCACCAGCACTGCTGCTCATCTTGTCTGTGAATTATCGTTGCCATCTCCTTGAGATGCATAAAGGAAGAATGTCTCACAATATCGCAGGGAGAACGACGTGTGAATGCATTGTTTTAAGGGGTATATTTGTACGTAACTGAAAAACTAAGTTTGTTTTATATCCTGGTAAGACTAATATCTTGGGAATATTCCCCATGTCAGCTACCTCAAAAAGAGGACAACCTGGGAAAACCAGGATATGTTGCAATCATACTGTGGGCCTGTGAACCAATTGATTTAGCTAAGATAAATGATGGATGGAATAGATCTCTGACTGTAATTTGAAGTCACGGCCTTCCAATTGCGAGTCACACCTTCTAACCACACGTGCCACACCTGCCTCCCGGCTGCATACTGTGTTAATTATACTCTGGTTATTGCTGCGTGGGGGCAGGCTACTATGTTCTCCACTCATCTTATAACACAGTTTTAGCAGGATGGTTTCGTGACAACAATTCAAATGGTAATGTCACACCTGTGAATTGTAATTTAAAGCCCAGTGAACACAAACACAGCGTTTAATTGTTACATTAACTTTAAATATAAAAGTGGCCTCTATGTCAATACAAAATCTTTACCTTTGTGAGATATAATTCCAATAACAAATGCTCTTTTTGATGTTATGATAAATGATTGCATGATTAACTTTGTATAGGTCATGATGTTAAGTTGCTCCAAAAATAGGATTGTTTTCAAGGCAATATTGCATATAATTGTATTTTGGCATTCACATTTACTACCTTTTCAAACTTATAGAATTTAAAGTGTTTTCTGTGATTAGGATTTTTGGAGTATTTTCTATTATTGCAGAGTGAAAAGATATCTTTAAAAAAGCATTATTATTGGTATTTAAACATACAAAAATCACACCATAAAATGCGGTGTATACACGGGGGTTACATCAACATATAAATGTGGGACAGTGTTTTAGGATTTTTGACGTAATCAAGTTTATAAGCATCATTGCAAATTACATTATGTTCATTGCTGACATTTGTATGTTGATTCCCCCGTGGAGTAGCCCATTTGGGTATTTTAGAGTCACGTAAAAGTGTTTTACTTGCTGCCCTTATAGTATCTTATTAAGGATAATAAATGAAGTTTGCAAAGATTGGCATGCGACATGACCACCCAAATCACTAGTTAATGTTTTGCAGCATGCTCATTTATTTACTCTAAAAATGTAGCTATTACAGAAAGAGATTTGTTTGCAAAACCACTGTTTAACTTTTGTGCATTTTACTAATTGCTCCTAAATGGGATATGAACTAAATACAACGTGAATAGGTTTCCCCTATTATCTGGCAACAAAACAGGTGTTAAAATGTTAAAACACCAAACTGAAACCTTTTACAAGGAATCATGTCTGCATTAACCACAATACTTGTGGTCAGAATGCAAACAAAAACATACTCTGATAATATATGCATTGTCTTTGAAACTGATTGGTCCACACCAGAGACAGCTTTATTTTGAGCCTAGTCTCAAACAGTGTTAGACCAGAGGACGCCAAAAGGCGTACGGCACAAAGACAATGATCAGAGTAATAAGAGCTCGGGGTGAGCATCTACATCATGGGACCTCCTTTGCCAGTACCAATATCTGAGAATAGGTTTTTCCTTTTTTTCTGGCAACAAAACAGGTGTTAAGATGTTAAAACACCAAACTAAAACCTTTTACAAGGAATCATGTCTGCATTAACCGCAATACTTGTGGTCAGAATGCAAACAAAAACATACTCTGATAAGAAACCTGTCTCTGGTGTGGACCAATCAGTTTCAAAGACAATGCATATATTATCAGAGTATGTTTTTTGTTTGCATTCTGACCTCAAGTATAGTGGTTAATGCGGACATGATTCCTTGTAAAAGGTTTCAGTTTGGTGTTTTAACATCTTAACACCTATTTAGTGATTTGACATTGTGAATGTTTTAATTTACGTAGATTGTCTTGTCTTCGTAAAATGAAATTGGCAACTGAAAACATTCGAAATTGATTGTATAATTTGGTTCCTTACATGAATTGGTAGATATTTACTTTCTATACGCTTGATAATGTGTTGAACTATTATGTTTCTGTCGTGTTTTGTTAGAATTTATATGTTTTGCAGTGGCATGCGCTTTATCCAATTATAGAGCTTAAATTAAATTCAATGCATCGTTTGCTACCTGGCCCATCCACACTACTTGGCTGCACTTTACATAATTTGAAATGATTGCCTCCAGCAATGATAATGACTAATATCATGAATATGAGAGAACTGTATGCCAACCTGGTATTTATGGTACGTGCATATGCATATATATGCAACATTTATTTTCAAAAAATATATTCACTGCTTGATGTAGGCCTACTCATGCTGTGTTGGTCATGAGGGTTGGTTGACCATACTTTATCATGCTAATCAGTGCAGTTTGGTGAGAGGGCAACCCATGACCAGTTCAATATAATGCGTCATGCATAGGCATGCTTACATCTGCATGCATTAAGATATGCATTCGCACATGTGTGTATGTGTGCTTTTATTTGTGTCTGTGCATGTATGTGCACTATTGAAAATGCATGCATGCATGTGTGCCCGTGTGTGGGAGTGGTAGTATTTTGGCTCACGCACTACGATACAATACAACACTTGCGTCCTGAGTTTGATTCCCGCTCATGGCCAACATTGGTGACGAACATCCAAACCAGTCCTGGCCTTCTCCTAGGTCAACTCAGCCTTAAACAAGTACCTGGTGCAGTGTGTAAACACCAGCACTGGGGAGACAAAGGCGGGTAGGCATGATTTCAAGCAAGAACAGCAACAGCCGCCATTCTCCACGAAGTGGCGCTGACGTCATGGCGCTTGTGCCAGGCTACGTGTCCTTAGATCTGGTTGCTAGCGACACCACACTTTCGTATACCATGCCAGCCTATATATACGGGTGAAGAGCACTGGCCCCAATTGTCTGTTGAGGCTGTACAGGAGATAGTTGTATTTGGATTCATATGTGTGCACTCTTGCACGTGGGTGAACGCGTGTGTGTGGATGCGTACGGGACATGCAGGAGGTAGTGGAGCTGGAGAAGCAGCTGGGAGGCCGTCTGCTGGAGGAACCCACGACTCTGCACTTCAAAGCCAACGCAGGCAACCTGAGGCTCTCGATCCACGCCATCCCAGACGTCCTCTGGACTAACAAGCTGCTCAACACGTTCCAGGTTTTGAATGCACCTATTAGTGTTTGTTTTGTTTTCCATTTGCGCCGTCCCGCATGATGACAGAGCACATTGTGTTTGATTAGAGGCGTGTTTGATGATTCACTGCATTCGATCATGGACCATTGCCACGCGTGTAATATGAAACTCACGAGGAAATGAATTTCAAATGAACAAAAAAATACGCGTATTCCTAACTTGATTTAACATTGAAAAATGTTTCTGCGTTGTCACTGCAAGATTGCAGTAAGATGCACACGGTTGTGTCAATTTACATGAACATGTTAAAATATAATTTGAGCAGTGAAATATATTCGTGGTTATGAAGATAACAGAAACTTAATGGATTTGCCATGCATTTAGGATTCCTGTTATAAATGTACAAATGTAAAACAACTTTAGAATTTATTTTTGTTGCACTGCTCAAAAATTAGTTGTACATAAGCAAGACTAATGTGTTCAACTTTTGAACACCCACAACACACCCACTTTATGCTTTACTGATGCCTTTCAAATCATTTTGGACAAGTCTGTGTAAATCATTGACATTGTTCGTGTAACTGGGAGATTGAAAACGGTAAAAGTGCACACTTAGTCCATTGTCCCAGATATTTGAAAAGCTGGAGATGCACACAATCTCATTATTAAGTAACATATCTAACGGTTAAACTCCACTCAATGCATTTTGTATGTATATATACATATGTAATAATCCTTCTGAGATGGCTTCGGAATCGGTCCTTTTCATTTCCACTTCCACAATACACTTTACTCACACACTCTCCGTTGCTGGCAGACAACAGAGAGCGGGCAGACTTCACACCAAGTTCCCACCGGGGACGTGGCACCCAGAGCCCCCGTACGCGCGTGGCTCTGCTCGTTCCCCAGTCTGCTCTCGATCGTTCTCTCTCTCTCTCTCTTAATCCCTTCGTCACGTGGTACCCCCCAGCCAATCCTCCGTAGACAGCATTCACCGTTCTCGATGGTTCCCTGTCAATCCCGGGACCACGCCTCTGATCCGGCTCCCCATTAGCTGGGGCCCCGAATGGCCAGGCCACTCCCCCCTGCTAACATGCCGTGATCACGCAGAGGCCATGTTCCCTGTCTCAACCCTTATTGGCTACAAAGCAGGACCGGCAAGCCAATCCCCACGTGAACCCTCTATGGCTGTTATTACACATATATAGAGAGAGCTAATTCTATTGGTAATCCCTTTCACCAGCAGCGGCATGAGCAAGGAATTGCAGGGCTGCACCTTTACATTTAGCTTTTTGTGAAGTCGATAATGTCCCGGTCATGAGACAGGGGAATTTTGAACGCTGGCTCACGGCGCTTTGACCCTTTGTTTGTTGCACCGCCGCCGTGCAGGAGATCCCCTTCTGGCACGTGTGGCCGGGCTGCCAGCGGCTGCTGCACTGCACCTTCACCCTGGAGAGGGCCGGCCTGAGCAGCACCGAGTTCTCCTGCAAGCTCTGTGTGCAGCAGCTGGAGGGCGAGGGCCAGGTGCTGCAGCTGCGCTCCACCCTGCTCAACGTGAGTCCATCCCCCTCATCTCCAGGGACCTCGCCTTCTCCGCACACCGCATCTGAACACGAGTGCCAATGTGAGGGTCTCGTCTACCTAGCGTCAGTGCAGCTTTGGCTCTCTTTTTGTTTGCATTATCTTTGTGGGAGTGGGGGGGGGGCGGCAACGCATTAATGGCATCATGTATTGATATCAAGATAGCCATTCGCGATTCTCATAGAGAACAGCCCACACGAGGTGATATCACAAAACTGCTTGGGAGAGTTCGTGAAGTTGCCTCTTACCCACACTTTCCCAATGTTTTAAACATTTAATTGGTTGGGATGTTCATTGCATGGCAGTCAAAAATTATTGATTCTCAGAGCTGTAAACTATATTTTTTGTGGGGCCATTGGTGATTCACTTAGACCACTCATTATTATCATGGGTGCCTGTTCAGATCGAATCCGGAATCTCAGCAGTGCTGTTCAGTGTGTTAACTACTGAGCCACTGAGCTACCTTGTATATTCATGTTTAAAATTTTTCATAATGTAAACCAGTGGTTGTGTAGTGAGGCACTCAGAGACACTAATAGTAGGAGGCACTCTATTTATTATAGCCTTCACTGGCACAGGGAATAACTACACTCTGGTCAGAACAGTTAACAAGCTGCCTGACCAACGACGCCGAGGAGGTTAAGACGGTGAAGAAGACTCCTGTAGCACGACGAGTTCCACTCCAAACAACAGCCGCAAACCTTGCTTGGGGTCCCCCTTTCATCCACCCAGCGTGGCCTCGCACTGCCCTCGGCCACGCCCCCCTTCCAGGACCTACCTGAAGGTTCTCGGCTCACCCCACATGCCCCCTCTGTCACCTTTGTCCCACTTCCCTCTCTCCGGCTTATCACATGACCCGCTGGCAGACACGGCTGCTACAACAGCAGATCCCCTTCTGCCAGCAACCAGCGCTACGCGCCATAGTGACCCATTCCATGTCGTGTCACTGCATGGAATGGGTCACTATGATGTCACTACATCACCCCCCCCTGTGAAAAAAACCAGCCGTCCCGGTTGACCTCCATACCCCGCATAGTAGGACAACAACACAACAATAATTATCCCGCCCGCGAATCGAATTAACAAGAACAATAAATAACCGGAAGAGACAACAATCGTGAACACACGGCAATAAACCCGGCCCCCAGGGACACGACAACCCCCAACGACCGTCAGCATGCCACAGCCCGTGAACAAGGGAAGGACCTCAGGTCAACTGACAGCCACAGCCCAGCTCGCATCTGCAACTACCCACCAGACGGCGTTGGAATGAATAGAATAACGGGAAGGAACGGGTTATTTTAACCGGACAGTTTTGGAATGGGTCCTCGTCGCCGGGCCCCCAGGTGGGACAAGAATGGGTTTCCTGAGAACCTCGGGGACGACTTGTAAATGGCCTAATGGGTGCGGCCCCTCCCGGGAAGAAGATGAAGGAGAAGTTGAGGCGTTTTGTCCCTCCTGGCTCGCCTGCGGATGGCGCCGCCGATGGTACCGTGGTTATCAGATGCTGGGATCCTGTGGGCAGAAAAAAACAGAATCCCGCTGAGGCGTACCCTCCGTAATTGTACACCCGGGCTCGTCTGACACATCAGACACCTGGCCGTCAGGTAGTGGAGATGAAGCGACATTACAAGGTGGAAAATAGGGTTTCAGCCGTGACGGGTGCACAAACCAGCACCTGCGACCAACCTGGATAAGTACGTACTGTGGCCTCCTGACCTCAATCACCTCAACCGGGCCCTGCCATGGCCGGTGCAATTTAGGGTACGTGCCCAAGGGTCACCTGGGGGCAATGCAGTCAGGCCTTGTCCCCAGGGTTCCATGGGTTTCCGGATATGCGGAGTCCCACAAGCTTCTTATTGGCGGCTTGCCGTTTGGCTGAATTACCCCGAGACGCCTCCCGTGCTTCCACCAGTCGATTGAGGGTCAGGAGCATGGGCGTGGGCACAACGGCCCTCTTTTTGCCCGGATCCATGTTTAACTGAGCCTCCATGGGGGGATCGTATTCCCTCCCGTACATGAGGAAAAAGGGGGAGAACCCAGTTGAGGCGTGAGGGGCTATTCTGTACACGGCGAGAACACTCGGAACGTGCAAATCCCAATCGGACTGCGCCTCGTTGACCTGTTGGCACAGCATGGGCGTGAGAGTCCTATGCAAGCGCTTTACCATCCCGTCAGTCTGGGGATGGTAGGGCGACGTCCAGATCTTTTTAGTGCTCAGGGAGTTGCACACCACCTTAAATAATTTTAAAGAAAGTTTCGACCTTGGTCTGTAAGGAGACATTCCGGGGCTCACTTATCTAAAGCATAGCCGTGCAAGAATGCGTCTGTTATGGACGCGGCCGACTGATCCGGCAAAGGCCATGCCACTGGCCACTGGGACAGGTACTCCACCCCTACGAGCAAATATTTGTTTCCCCTCGGGGTGGCGGGAAATGGCCCGAGGATGTTGAGAGCAACGAGCTCGTTAAGACGGGACACCTCGATGGAGCGCACTCAACACAACCCTTAAGCATGTTGTGGACATCCTCTGACATTCCGGCCCAAAAGAAATCGCGCTTCAGGGTTGATAAGGTTTTCCTCACCCCAAGGTGCATCAACCTCTCATGGACAGCCCGTATCACTCTGCCCCGCAGAGCAGTTGCCACAACGATGCAGTAACGCTGCACCTCCACATCCCACCTCATCAGAAACCCATCACGGAGGATCACGAAGGACATACCCGCTGGTCCCTGTCTACCACCCTTCGCTCCAACGCGACACCACAATTTTAGCAGGGAGGCATCCTCCACTTGGAGGCGTCCCCATTCCGCATGCATGAGACCAATCGTGTTATCGCGAAATCGGCTGATGCGGGTGGTAAAACGTCAACTGATGCCACGACGGTGCCCGGCAATCCTGCAACCGCAGATTTACAATGGCCGGCACCTAACAAACATGCACATTGGCCCTTTGGCAGAAATCACGACAGCGCGTCCGCATAAGTGGCGTGTACCTTTCCTGTAGGTGACCGTGAATAAATAATCCTGTAAAATTTCCAACCAGCGGGAGAGCTTGCCGGATGGCCGGTCAACCCGCAGCGCATATTGAAGAGCCACATGATCTGTGCGTACAACAAACTGCCTACAGTAAAGGTACGGACGGTACTGTTGTACAAAATTTACAATGGTCAATAATTCGTGGCGCATCACACCATAACGCTGCTCTGTGGGGGACAGTACAAGGCTCCCGTAAAAAACGACCCTCTCTACCCCGTTTACCACCAATAATAGTACAGCGCCGATTCCGGTGTCACTGGCGTCTGTATCCAGCACAAATGGTAAAGAAAAATCGGTGTATCCAAGGGGAGGCACATTAACGAGGCCGTCGCGCAGCGCGACAAACGCGGCCTCCTCCCCCCACCGAAATTCTTGACTTTTCGCAGTTAGAGCGTGGAGGAGTTTTGCGATGATGCAAACTTGGGCACAAAGCGGCAGTAATACGATGCGAACCCGACAAAACTGCGAACTTCACCCATCGACATGGGGATTGGCCATGTGCGCACGCACACAGTTTTGTCGGGGTCTCTGGCTATCCTGGACTCGCCGATGATGTCATCCAAGTAGCGAACCGATGTCTGCAGAAGATGACACACACACTTGTGTTAATTTGAGGTGCGGGGCAAGGACAACAAACTTCATACAAAAAGCAGTTCAAAAGAAATGAGTTTTCAATCTAGATTTCAAATGCTTAGCTCCAGTCACTTTCTAATATCAGAAGGAAGAGCATTCCAGAGGGGCACAGAATCACATCTGAAAGCGTGTGATGTAGTGACTGACTTTGGTTGATGCTTAGCCAAAAGCCACTTCGAGGGTGATGGCTCATGCTCCTTGGATAGACTTGTCCCCACTACATGAATGTGGAATGTCCACCACTGCCTCCTACTCAGTTTTGCTGTCATCTTAAACGTATGCCATTTGCATGGCATCTGTACACATGTCTTTTGTATACATGCATGACACATTTCATTTCGCATGAACTCAATGTATACTTTTATGAGTTGAAGTTGTCCATTGCCTAGTTCCAAGTGCCTTTACCTAGGCAGATGGTGATCCTATGTTTTTTGTTCCATCTGGTCTAGAAGCAACAGCAGTTGTAATCAAGCATGAACAAGCAAGTCAGCTTACAATGTGGACCTCCACTCTCAGAGATTACATAGATAGGTAGTCCAGTGTTGTTCATCTTGACATGTTTAATCTGTTGACGAATTAATATTTTTTTGGGCAAAAACAGGCCAATATCTCCAAGAACAAGAATGATGCAAATTGCCACCCGAATGCATTTAACATGGTTTGTGAACATATGCATCTGGCGCTAAGACTGCGAAACAGGATTCTAGGATCACAGTGTTAATTCGCTTGGTCTCTAGAACATTGATCAAAGGGGAATGTCAACGGTGCATAATGCCGACGTCATTGCACTGTGGCAGATAGAGTCCCCATGTCAAGCGGATGTTGACCTGCATTTTAATGCTGAACGATGCTGCCCACCTTCTACCGCACTACACATTGTCCTGCGGAGGGAGCTGGTAGGAACGTCGGGTTGCTCGGTCAATGGCCAGGGTCAACGGCGGCGTGGTGTATTCCGCAAATCTGCCCGACTGTGAGGGCGGACACAAGCCGGCGTGAGTAGGTTAAACGCTGAGTTGTATAAAGGCACCACGGGGTGACCAGCCCCTCCCCACCCAGCCCCACCCCTCCCACCCCCCAGCGAACCCCTCCCCACCCTCCCCACCCAGCCCCTCCCCACCCTCCCCTCCCCACCCAGCCCCACCCTCCCCACCCAGCCCCTCCCTCCCCACCCAGCCCCTCCCCACCCTCCCGTCCCCATCCAACCCCTCCCTCCCCACCCAGCCCCTCCCCACCCTCCCGTCCCCATCCAGCCCCTCCCTCCCCACCCAGCCCCTCCCCACCCACCCCCACCCAGCCCCAACCTTCCCACCCAGCCCCTCCCCACCGTCCCCTCTCCACCCAGCCCCACCCCTCCCATTTTTGGATGCACGACGGATGGACACAATAATCCCCTGTGGGCTGGTGCAACCAGGAGGTTCCTCCCAGTAAAATCTGTCAATTGACATACGACAGTATTGCCCAGCTTAATGATCGGTTGATAGGTTAAGTTATTATTTAGGCAAAGTCGTGTAATGTCAACAGCTATTAATTGACATGTGTAAATAATATCCAGAATAATAAACATCTAAATAAATACAATTTCCACTTCATTTGAACGTGAACATGCACAGCTGTGAGAGTATCGTCAATAGTTTGATGTAATGGGTTCATGAATTGTGTCTGCGAAGACAGCCAATAATACCGTCTTGAAATTGAACTTAATTAGTAATTTCCCTAAGAGCTCTGAAAAAAAGCAGTGGCTCTGCTTGATGTCTCTTGTTCGTTAATTGGCATGTCTTGGCAGTGGTGGAGAAAGACTAAATTTTTATGTTGTAGCAAGGCTTCAGAGAAAAATGCAAAATGTGTTTCAAAATGAACTGCCGCTTCATCTCTGACTGCTCACCATGGCAACCTCAAAAAAGATTCCCTCTCTTCTACTTTGCAGAGTTTAAATTTAATTGTTTTAATGAGTCAAGAGTAGGACACGAAGCTTAGATGGAGAAACGATTATGAAAGGATACACCACTCTAACAGAGTGATGGCTTCATGTAGAAAAATAGAGTTACTCAACATTTTGCTATATAGGTAATTGAAATGTGATGTAGCCCAGTGCTATGCTTCATAAAATACTTCTTAGCAATATTCCTAAAACAACAAAGGAAATAGGTAGTTAGAAGGAATTTAACCTGTATAGTTACTATCTCGCTCAGGAAAGTTCACCTTAAATAAATAACCGATATAAATATTCTAAATTCTAGACCTTTGTATGGTACAAATACACTTCCTGTGTACATTTATTTCAGTACCTATGCATCATGCCACCTTTCTAAATATCATATGCTTAATTCATATTATTATTTACGTCACATTTCTTAACATTATATAATTTTCAGTAATTCACATCATTATTTTGAATGTATACATTTCAGTCTGGCTACTCCCAAAGATGAAAGAGAGAGCCAATTGTGAATCCAGCAATTGTGACTTCTTCTAGAGAGAAAAATCTGCTGCCAATTGTGATGCATATAATACGTGAGCACTCCCAATGATATAGCTTCCAAAGAGCTACTACTCGGGTAATTACATTATGGTGATAATTTTATATTTAGTCAGTGGCCAAATTGGATACTTGATGCACAAATGGGAATTGTAAAACTATCCGGTGCCCGACTGTGGCCACTCAGAATAGACCATGGGACATAGAATAACTCGGTGCCCGATTTGCAAATACGAAGGTAGGATCACAGCGATGTACCACTCTGCTACTCGTGATGTAATACGTTTGCTCAACCATTGCAATTAAAAATCATAGCTGTTGCTCTACATCAACATCAGCCCTGTGAAATAGAAGTGGTTGCTGATGTTGTTGCTGTTGTGTCTTGCAGGCTCCAAGTGCCACTGATGATTCCCCCACGGAGGCTGCCTCTGCTGGCTCGGCCCTCGTGGGTCCCCAGGCTTTCAAGCTGCCCTACTCCATCCGCCAGAAGCTGTGCAGCAGCCTGGACTCCCCCAACCCCCGCGGCAACGACTGGAGGCTCCTGGCGCACAGGCTGGGGGTCAACAGGTACGGGTGGACAGAGAATCCTACATGGGGATATTAAGAATAGACTGGGTATCAACAGGTACGGGTGGACAGAGACTCCTATATGTGGATGTTAAGAATAGACTGAACACAGTAGGTACGAATGGACAGACCATAGACTCCTATAATATGAATAAAATGGGCATCGATATCTAAGAGTGGATGGTTTCTTGTATGAGGTTAATTAGAATTGACTGGTCATCAACAGGTATGGGTGGACAGTGAGAGAGGTCGATTTGGCAATAATATTGATAATAATGTTATATAATGGACATCAGTAGGTATCCATGGACACAGCGCCCTATATGGGGTTAATACTAGTCATATAATAGTCTGGAAATCAACAGGTGTGGGTAGACAGAGAGTCCTAAATGGGTTATGTCTTTTACCCTGGCATTGATTTTTAATTCCCTGAGTCAATTTGGTGCAATTCTGTACCCTGCATCACAGCCTTTATAACCTATGCCTTTAAGGGCTAGACACATTGTCAGTACCAATCTGCATCACCTCCTGTTCATCTTGTTAAGAGTAAACCACTGAATTACTTTGTAAAATACTGTTCTGCATGGCTGCATCACGTGAATTTAGCCATCAAAAATATCAAGGAATATTATGTCACGATGGAATAAGGCAGTCAAAGGTATAATCTATGCAAATCAGACCACTATTTACTAGTTTATACTGAATCTGTGTATTATAATACTTATCCATGCTATCTTTACATATATTTTCTGAATTTGATATTTTAATTCACCCTTTTCTCTTTTAACTCTATAAATGTCTTATTGTAATGAATGGCATGTTTTTAATTAATTAAATTTGTCTTCTTTATTAAAAAGAAAAATACATTTAAAACACAATACATTCAAGCCAATCTCAATCCCTCAACGGACGAAGGCTTCCCAACACCATGTGGGTTGATGCTGATATAGTAAGCCAGGTTAGTTTCATCAGCAATACAATACACATATCTGGCAGCAGTCTAGTCCCACTATGAAGGCCCAATAATTGTATAGAAAAAGCAATCTCAATGTGTTAAGCAAAACTCTATTCACAATTCCAGTCACACCTGTCAAATATCAATCGAGCGCAGACAAGTGGCTTTGCAATATTTGATTTATATGAGTAATGTTAGAGTATTTATGTACGCGTTTTGCTCAAGCACACTGTTATGAGGGTGAAAATAACGTGAAAGTTACATTGTATTAAATTTTACTTATAAAGGTGCAGCCCTGCAATTGGTTCCTCATGCCACTACTGGCAGAAGGGCATCCACTAGAGGGAGCTCTGCAGAGCCCCTCTCAAGGGTATTTTCGAGTCCTCTTTCATGGTGGCCAGATATCTCGGAAGCAGTGGAGGTACCCAAACTTCACCCCACCGCACGCGACTTGTCAATCAATTAGCTGTGGCATACCCATGTTTACTGCCTGGGTGGACAGAGGCGGGGAGGATTTTAGAAACTTGCTCCTCCAGCAGTGGATAGATCATGGTTGATAAAGATAATGATGGAGGTCATGCTACGTGTAATTTCCTCTCTCCCACATCTCTCTGAATTCTAAACCTAATTTTCATTTCGCTTGTGATTGTGCTTTCAGATATAATTATAAGTGGATGCCTGAAATGTAAGATAGAATTGTTGTCGCACATGATTGTGTAGGGATGGCGATATTTAATCGCATATAAAATCGAAAGCATGGGTGTGTAACCATGCGCACGTGTGCGTGCGTGTGTGCATGAGTTCATATTTGTGAATTAGGAGCATGTGTAAATGTGTGTGCCAACAAGTCAGTGGGGAGCGGTGGCGAAGTAGTTAGGGCACTGTGCAACTCATCTGGCAACCCGAGTTCAATTACCGCTCATGGCTAAAAACCGGTGACGATTATTCGAAACGGCCCTGGGCCTCCCCTAGGTCGACTCAGCCTCAAATGGTGATGTGAGTAAAACATCGCCACTGGGGAGACAAAGGCGATCGGGCGTGGTGCTGGCCACCCACCCCCTCGTGTGCTGGGCCGGCCTTCATAGGTGCTCGCTAACAGCACTTTCCCCAACAGTCTGTTAATGCTATGAAGGGGATCTTTGTCTTTGTCAACAAGTAAGCTCGCATTATCCACACATTTTCTTGCCTCTTTTCCAGGTTATTTGAGACAGATTGTATTTTGTATAGCATTTTAGAGTGCATTGCAGATTCAGTGAACCATGCATTTGAATGTGTTGGATAATATACAACTTAAATCTTACATGGGAAAATACAGTAATGTAATTGTAATTGCTTTAGCATGAGCATTGTCAATGATGTTCACTAATTAAATCTTATGGCTGTAGGAACATTGAGTATTTTTTTTTACTCAATTTAATTGAATGTGTTTCCAAAGCACCAAAAATGCATAATCAAGTAAAAACGAATACATTGCAAAAATATTGCCTTTGAAAAATTACTAATGAAAGAAAAAATACTTAATACGATGGTAAGCTGAAAAAATACACTGAGAGTTGTAAAAAAAAATCTCATATAATTACAAAATTGTCTAAATGAAGAACAACAATTATCATAGTCCCTTATAAAAACAATACATTCTGAGGAGGCGTCATATTAATTAAATATTGCTTATGTCTGCACGCATAAAAAATCCTTAGTTATTTTCTTTCGTCCTATTCGTAATCATGTGTCTACATAGGTGGGGCAACATATGGTATATAGGCTATACATTTTACGAGCCTAATTTATACATTTAAATATTTCTATTACAATAAACAATTACTCATGGGCCAAGATAGAGAATATTGTAAAATATGCAGCATTAAGTCAATCACCAATGAAGTAAACAGCATGACTGAGCACACCATCCTTTATGGGCATTGTCACATCGTGTAGCAAGTCATTACCAAGCCAATGCCCTAGTTTCCCTTATGAAATAATTAAATAAAGCGCCACGACACAAACCTTTGTGTAAAACAAGGTTTTAGCAATTACATGAAGTTTTATTTCATAGAACAAAGACATGCTTATCCCATTTGTAGTTACAGCTAAGAACAAGATATCAGAATATGAGAAGTGTGCTGATATCTATAAATTAAAAGCATGCTGTGTATATTTAAGTGAAGTTATTTTGTACAAATGTGAAAAAACATAATTAGAATATCAAAATCAATAGGCTTTCTCACATTTGCCATGGAATGTTGATATTCTTACGTACTACATTTAATGGGTACTGTTGGGCTAATGACTCCAGTAAATGCATTGCAGTGTTGCCATGTAACCAGTTCGTTCTATTCGTACATCCACAATTCAATCAGGCATTCCAAGCTTCATTTTTAGGAGCTTCCATTGACAATTCCAAAAACAAATATAAACATTTGTCAATAGCACAGTCTTAGAAGGAATACCATACAATAGAGCATTTCAGGTGAAGATCGTTCTTTGCATTAACAGGCCAGAGAGATAGTTAATAATGGTTGAAGACTGCACTTTACACAATGGGGGCCTGATGAGAATTACATTTTAAGAATATTTTTCTGATGAAGAGTTTTTTTTTAATATATATAGTTATTGAGTAACAGACAAGTCCATATATAATAAAATAGAGTGGTACTAAATAAACTCGTTTATATTTAAAAATAAAATTGTAAGATGTTAATGACACTGGATTGTGGGAATGTTTGCTCCTGTGAGAAAAAGGCGTAATCTATTTAGCGGTGAATTTCTGGGCCCAATTTGTAATTTGAATAAAATGCATTTAACTGCCTTACATTCCTGAGGCAGAGGAGTCTGAGAAATGAAATGTGGAGAATAACTATGAAACTAAAATTAATTAACACATGCAGTATAAGGTGTACCTTTATAAGAGAAACATCCGATTGCATCATTCTACTGGAGGGAAAGCAACAATAGTAAAGAGCTATAAAAAATTAACGAAAAGAAAAGGTAAAGGTGCAGCACTGAAAGTCTTGCTCATGCCAGTGCTGACAGAAGGGCCTTCAGTAGAGGAAGTTTTTGAGAGCTCCTTTAGAGGGCATTTTGCCTACTCTTTGTATGCATGTGGACCCTCTTTTGCACCATACCTAGCCAACTGTACACATCCCACTAGACGTTTTACAAGAGATGGAAGGACCCACACTTTACCCCACCGCACGTGACATGCCGAACGGCTGTGGTTGTACCCATTTATACTCCTGGGTGTAGAGGTGGATGAGATGTATTAAACGTGCTCATTGTGTCAACTGCAGTGCCTGGAGATCGAAGCGATGACACCACGGCAAACTTGTAAACGAATAATTACTTATTTATTAACTTTAAACACGATAGATATACTTAACAAAATGTTTAATTACCCAAGATAACTGGCGTATGCTGAACTTTTTATGGCTGATCGGCTTGTAGGTGGTGGCTTTGGCCCCATAACCATCCTCCCAGGATCGTTAGAATGAATGCCACCGATGGCCCAATGAGAGTGTCACCTGCCATGGGGAATTGTAATTCCCACTGGTGACTCTGGACTACCAACCGAGAACTGAGGACCCCTCCCATGAGGTTACTGGGAGCAGTGGTCATGACCAGCCGTGTGGCTTAAAGGGAATGCGTGACTGACCGCTGGGCTTCCCACTGCCGATGGGGTCAGGGTTAAGGACAGCACTTCCGTGCCTCTATTCCACTATATAGTTAGCACATAAATACAGAGATTCAGTTCTGAACGTGTGTTTGTTGCCCGTGTGTGTTTGTGTGTGCGGTGCAGCTGCCTGGAGTATTTCGAGATGAGAGGGAGCCCCACGGGGGTGGTGCTGGACCTGTGGGAGGCCCAGCACGAGGAGGATGGGGATCTGGACTCGCTGGCCAGCGTGCTGGAGGAGATGGGCCGCCGGGAGGCCCCACACCCTGCCCTGGCCCATGCTTGAACCCTGTGATGGTCAAGCAGATGAACTGCAGACCACCTCAAACAGAGGCCTCGACAGCGATTTAGACATCTACTGTAAATTATCGATGGTGAGCATAAAAGCAGCAACTATGAAGTCCAGAAAGGATGCAGTTTTTATTCTGCATTCATATGGCAGGGAGTTGATCAGCAACTTTATAAGGTCATGTCGCGGTTGTTGAGTGAGCCAGTGAATGTTGCCAGAAAATAATTTAAGCGGGCAGTGGCGTTATTACGTGGGCCATGGTTTGAGATCGGTGCACGCAGTCACACTGTGGGCTACTCTGCACTTAAGAGCTTGAAAAAACTAAACTGAAAATAGTGACGTCTAAAATCTCTCTCATCTGTTTTGATATATTTTTGGTTGTGAAGTTTAAATCTCATACTGCAAAGAACTGCCACATATGTCCTTAAACCTGGAACCATTTATCCATATATCTACACTCAGAACTGCTTTTCTGTTTGTTAGGAATAGTATTATACATTTAAAAAAAAAAAATTGACTTGGAATTTAAAAATAACCCAAATGTTTCAGTGATGTACCAGTCTCAAAAATGGATTAAAGTTCATACCGTGACAATGTTTTCTTCCCCTGTGTGCTTTACTTTATAACACAGGTGTTAAAAGTGGTCTCTGGTCATTGTTATAAACACTCCTTAATATCGTGCTACTGTTTGCTTCATGACAAAACTTTTGAAAATGGGAAACTCAATATTTTTTGTGCTCAACTTGGTACTGGAAGGTTCCAGAACCCATTAATGATATATTTCTTGAAGCTTGTTCAGATCAGCAGTCGTTGATGTAAATATTTAGTGTGACTATACTACATGATCTTCTTGGTTCTTTCGGTAAAGTCACGTAGAAGGGAAGTAATAAAATAATAAAAATAAAACATAATAAAACAATTCTCACGACGTTTCGGCCACAACGCAAGCAGCCGTCCTCAGGTGAAAACCAGGTCCGTCGAGGCGACAGAGTCTGAATGAAACAGCACACGAGCTTGGAGCATATATATAAGCTGGGCGCATTGACAAAGGAATTTGCATATCAAAAGGAATTTAGCATATTTATGGGAAATGCAGGAATGTGATTAGTCCTGCATATGCATGTGCATTATGCAGGATTAACAGCATCAAAGGGAGCTGCAGTTACTGCTGCTGCTGAAATTACTGCTGCTGCTGCAGTTTCTGCTGCTGCTGCAGTTGCTGCTGCTGCTGCAGTTGCTGCTGCTGCTGCTGCACTTGCTGCTGCTGCTGCACTTGCTGCTGCTGCAGCTGCTGCCTTATCCATTTTAATATAACACTATGTATTATTCTACCCACCCTAATGTGTATCACACTGCTATATGTTTACTATACAATTACGACACCATACATTACTTTGCACACTGCACCATGCCAGTGAGTGGAACGCGGTCTGAAAGTCACCGTAAACGTGAACACAATCAGTTAAGATCCGAAATGGTTTATTACGTCCTTCCAATGATTGCTAAGCCAGAATCCATCTTCTCGGTTGAAATTGTCTCTGTGTTTGTATATGTGGATCGCCTCATGAACGAATCTCTCATGATAGCCAGATGGCTTGCAGAGAACCTCTGTCTTGGAGAAGTCAATGTCATGTGAGCCCACTGAATTGTAACAGTGATCTGCCACGGCTGAGGTGTTTGTCCTACCGTGTTTCAGGTCTGCCTTATGTTCACGGATGCGGTCCGAGACATGTCGTTTGGTTTCTCCAATGTAACTGCTACCACAGAGGAAACTTAGTTTGTAGACGCCAGGGTACTGTATGTCTGGAACCACATCTTTTACAGACGGGACCAGATCACGGATTTTATGTACTGTGTTGAATCGGACCTGGATCTTGTGTTTAATCAGGATTTTGGAGATCTTTTTTGTGACCCCAGCAATGTAGGGTAAGGTGGTGGTCTTGAAAGGCTCCTGAACAGGATCCTTCTTGATGGTTGGAGTGATGGCTTTGCGGATTGTGTAGTCGGAGTAACCATTAGCCTTAAGAGCTTGGCGTACGTGTTTGAGTTCACTGGAAATGTGTTCATGGTCGGAGATGCATTGGGCTCTATGATATAGAGTCTTGATGAGGGAATTCTTCTGGGATGGATGGTGGTGGGAATCCGGTTTTAGATAAGCATCCGTGTGGGTGGCTTTCCTGTAGACAGAGTGGCTCATTGAACCATCTGCAGCAGCAGCAAGTGCAGCAGCAGCAAGTGCAGCAGCAGCAGCAACTGCAGCTGCAGCAGCAACTGCAGCAGCAGCAGAAACTGCAGCAGCAGCAGTAATTTCAGCAGCAGCAGTAACTGCAGCTCCCTTTGATGCTGTTAATCCTGCATAATGCACATGCATATGCAGGACTAATCAGATTCCTGCATTTCCCATAAATATGCTAAATTCCTTTTGATATGCAAATTCCTTTGTCAATGCGCCCAGCTTATATATATGCTCCAAGCTCGTGTGCTGTTTCATTCAGACTCTGTCGCCTCGACGGACCTGGTTTTCACCTGAGGACGGCTGCTTGCGTTGTGGCCGAAACGTCGTGAGAATTGTTTTATTATGTTTTATTTTTATTATTTTATTACTTCCCTTCTACGTGACTTTACCGAAAGAACCAAGAAGATGAATCCCTGCAGTCACGAAAGCTTTAAATCGAAATATACTACATGAGTTGTGTTCTTACACAAAATGGAATTGTGATTTATTTCTGTATGTTTCGATGTTGTTTATTAGTGTATGTGTATGCCATGAACTATTTTGATTTTTCAGTGTAATTTTATTAAGTTTTCCATGTTTTGCATCCAGGTGAACATTCTGCGTAAATATAGCTAGCATTTTAATGCATCGATACTCAATGAACATCCAATATATTTGTAATATCAAGTCTCATTATGTACATACATTTTACATAGCTTCTCTTTACAATTGCAGAAGAGTAATCAAAGGAACTGATCCGTTAATTTGTATTCAATCTACCCATAGTGAAACTCCAACCTGAAACTGTGACCTGCACCTTTTAATAGTTCTGTGCAAAAATGCGATGGGCACTGAGACTTGCTGTGACATTGGTGTACACCTTGAGAAACATGTGGAAAACCATGTGCTTGATTTCACAACTTTTGAGAGCCATATAATTTTCAATCACAGGTGTAGGTGAACATGCCTATATGCCTATTGTCATTTCGAATTTTAACATGCACGTACACAATTTTAACAGGTAGCATTATGATATGCCTCTATATGGTGTTTGTGTATATATAGAAATAAGAGCACCAAACACCAGTTTGTTTGTTTTCTTTAAAATAGTGTTGTGTCAGTAATAAAATCCACCAAATGAAAATTATACAAGCTTGCACTCATAAGATAAAAACTATTACTTTCCCCACCAACTCTATGTCATGATGACATTTTTTTTTAAATACTGCTATGTGTCTTGAGCACAGTGTGGAAATTACAGAATATCAAAATGGCTTTTTAGCATGTATTATATATTGTTTGCATATACAGGGTCACAAGACAACTTGGAAACTTGCCTGTTAGAGCAAGGTTGTGAGTTAGGCCTCCATACACTCATCCCATTTTTTGTGCTGATTGAAGCTGAATTTTAAGTTGGGCCGAGTATGTAAGCGCTTCACTCCAGGACCAGTTTACCAAGCCCAATGTCTGCTTGCTCAGTGAGCCAGCCAGTCCATTTCTGTGTATGCATACACTGCAGTATTTCTATATATATGAAAAACCAAGCAGAATTTTTCAGACCGATACAAACGTACCACAATTTTGTACAAGTCCTTAATTTATAATGTGCAACATACATTAGCGTTTTATGAAACTCTTCTTTGTGACACACCAGTTGCCAGTACTATAGAACAAAAATAAAGCAGAGGTAGCATTAAATGTATACTTGTTAGTGGACAGGATGACAGTATATTCAGTTCCAAGCTAAACTATTTCAGAGATAAGAGCACTTTCTTGCTGTTGTGACAGGTGCAGTGGAATTGCTTGTTAATGCAGTATTCAGCTGCACTTTGTGCCACACACTATTTGATGCACAGCTAAGGCTTGTCTAATTCATCAAGAATTAATCATAGCACATAATGGTACAGTTATTTTAGCCATTCTCACCACTGATATTTTATAGCGTTCAACGTGTGCGCCATGTAACTTCAAAACATTGCGCAGAGTTATATCCTCTGGCCATTGTACCATGTAGTGGAGGCCCTCTAGCCTCTTAGCTCAGCATGGCATACAACTTCATCCACACGACTGCTCTGTACATCTGCTGGCATTTGACAGCAAAGTTTAGTGAATTGGCATCCATCCCACATTCTATTTTACACCCCTTCATGTGGTGCAGTGCAACCACTCTGCAATGATGTACTTGGAAAATATTGCTTTCATTATGTGATGTGTATAAACTATAATTATGTATATACTGTACATTTATATATATAAAACACGATGCGCTTTTAAAATGCTGTTCAACCCTGTGTACATAAAGGAATAGGTCCCTACCATCTGTCCTGATATTATCAGATACATGAATAGCATCCACTCCGTATGATACTGAAATCCTTTTAAGCCAGACTTGTAATGTAAATATTCATAATAAAGGTTTTTGGGTTAGATCACGATCTAACCCAAAAATCTGGTCGCAAAATCCTACGTGTTAAAAGGTAAATGTTTGTTGTTGAATACAGTTTTAATGAATTTGAATTTTTTTAATATTCATCTTAAATTGATGAAAGGTTTTACAATGTTATTGATTAGACAGCATAAATAATGGCGACATTAAACTTGTCAGGCATATGTGGTTTTGTTAAACTTAATTAATTTAAACATTTTAAATAAAAAAAATACATGATCAAGAAAACATGTTTTGATTAAACTTAATGTAGCTTTACGTAGAAGACACATTCTTTTCAATTATAAACTATGCAAATGGTATATTCCATAATAAAATAAAAACAGCAGTGTCTGGAGCTGTATGTGTGGCATGTGCAGGGGCTTTTATCCTTCGATTTGAGAGAGCAGAGTATCAATGGATAATGAAACGCGAGACTGATTTGAGAGAGTGAATGTTCCAAAGGCCAGTGCCTTGTTTGCTGGCAGGGATGGTTTAGGGGCTCAGTTTGAGTCCCATCAGCATTAACGGTTGAAGATCGCAATGATAACCAGTCTTGAATTACACTCTGCTGCCACTCTCAACAACTGACAGTGTGACATATTCTTCAGACGTGTTTAACATTTTCACATAAATTTTGATGTTCTCAAAAAGTCACCATACACGGACAGTATAAAATCACAATCAATGTTAAAACAATGAAGTGTTTGCTCTGATTGCAAAGCCCCTTGTCTCAGCTACTCGCATTGCTTCTTGGGATTTTGATGGTTATTCGTGGAGAGCGCTTTCTTTAAACTGACCCGAAAGACAACGATGTGTGTCGAGTAAAGTATGACTCTTATTCAAATTGTGCATTTCAAAAGGAAGATCTAATTGTATTGAAGTTGTGACACCTGCATACATTTATGAACCATTAAATGCTGCTTATACAGTTGTGAATTTAATTTAACCTGGCT